AAAAACATTCCACAAATATATTACTACGATGCGATCTTAAAAGTAAATATAAGTAAAAAGGTATCACTTTTAAATATCTATTGCAATATAGAATTAGATACAGGTTGGTACTATACATGATCAAGTCTAGCATAAAGCCTTTGGGCTCAGGGATAGACATAAACTTTCAGATTCACTTGCCCTTCGGGCAAGTGGACTCAAACTTTGACTTGTCCGAATTCCAAACTTGGTTGCCCAAAAATTAGAAAGAAGAGAAAACTGGTAACTATTGTAAATAAAGTGAGATATTACTTTATATTTAGCAAGTTAAGTGCCGGAAAAAAATTTGATGTGCTGGTCATGCTTCATTTTAAATATTTGGAAACTCACACTGCTATGCAGCAATATCTATACTTATAAATTAATAAATTTTGCAAATAAAGTCCGAAACGGATGCACCATAGTGTTCACTTACTCCTCTAAGAATACACTAGATACAATATGATGTCCGTAAACTATATTTAGATTTCACTCGCATTGTAAGTATCGTACATTAAATTAAAAGTCTACTTTTATTTTCTATAAACAGCCATGAAATAGCAAAAACGTGAGTATGGTGGCGTTTCCGGTTGGCGGATCTAAGTTTCAGGCAATTTTTTATGAAACCGACAACAATCAATTGCGTATTTATTTCATAAAACGTCATCACTGAATTATTCAATCAAAACTTGATTTAAATGACATAAAAGAAATAAGTTGTGATAACCGATTAAAAAGGAAAATGTGCAAATTATTTTTGTCATTCACCGATCTTGATATTGACGGAAGGTTCTAGAACATCATATAGCATCGAATCCAATGTTTAAAAGAAAAACAAGACAACTATAGCTGTAGGAACATAACAAAAGCTAATGTGTGAATGGTCATTGAAATAATGGTAAATCATTGATAACACTATAAGTTGTGAATATATTTATATATCGAAAGACTATTACATATATGTAGTAGGTTTTCCTAATAAATTTGTCTGTAAAATGTGTATATATTCCTCACTGCTTACATGAAAAGAGAAAATTAATGAATAAGATATTGTTCAAATACAATTAAAGCTGTAAAATTTTGTGCTTTAATTAATACATTTCAGTTTTGTTTTTTGTTTTTGAATACTCGGCCTATTCATAGGGCGTTAAAAACTAATTTTTACACAGATACTTGCGTCTTGGTTTATATATATGTATGAACCTTATTGATATGTAAAAAAGGTAAAGTACATTTTTTACATATCAATAAGGTACATACATATTTATAAACCAAGACACGAGTACCTGTGAATTTTTACCCCCCCTCCCCCCCCAAAAAAATCAATTTATCAGTAAAATGTGCATATTCGCTGCTTTTAATTTATCCTTGACGGAAATGAAATAAGAGCATACAATATATCCATAACATAGTATAACAGGTTTCACAATAAACATAAAGTAATGAAATTGTGTGTCAAGTTTTTGCAAAAGGGGGTGGGGTGGGAGGGGGGGGGTGGGGGGGGTGGAGACGCACATGCGGGATTTGGAACAAAGTATTTCTTCCTGCTATAACCCTGTTGGTTGTCAGTATGAACTACAATATATTTTCTGTCGGTAGTGGTATAAATTCAATTCCCTGCGCTTGCGCGGGATTTCATCTAGTTTCCTTTAAAATAAACATCATATTTTTGAAAATTATTTTCTGTACGATTTTTTTTTTTTTGTGAATTTCGATTTTTTTCCCCTGAAAAGCTAAAGGAAAGCAGTTGTCATGTTTTGAAACATACATTCCTGATCAGAATACATCATGCCTCGAGAATACAGTCCCTGAAACGTTCTACTTTCCCATTTTTCCGTTCGCTCACTTTCGTTCAGCGTGCTTTCACCGTTCGTTCACCGTTCACGTTCAAGTTTTGCGTTCTGCGTTCACCGTGCGCTCGCGTTCACCGTTCACAAAGCGTTCACCTTTCGCTCTCCGTTCGTTCACTTTGCGTTCACCTTGCGTTCAGCGTTCACTTATTGTTCAGTCTTCACTGTCATTCGGAACTCCGAAGTGAAAGGACTTATCTTTTTGTAAGTAAGGATTTACGGGACTTGAAATTTAATAATTAACATATCATGTTTAAAGGATCATTATTTTATGGGAATAAATTATCTACAACATGTTTTATTATTATTCTAACTTAGCTGTTAGGTTATTAATTAAATTACTTTTGAAAATAAATGTTGTTATAAGTATGTACCTATGTAGAACGATGCTGAAAAATTAAATTTAAATACAGGCAATATACAGGTACTTCAAGCACTGCAACATTTTGTTGTTATGTTAAAGACGACAAGTCGTTAATGGAGAGATAATAATCCATGTCAATTAATTTACCAACTGCAGCAAAATTACGAAAGTATTTATTACTAACACGTTTTTTTTCAATTATTATAGAAATACATTATTAGAACTAGTTCTGAGAATTATAAATAGTACTGCGGATATCCAGTTAATTAAATATCTTTGGAAAGAATTAAATTGATAGTATGGTTAAAAAATATTTATTTAAATGTAATATGCTACAATTCATACATAAATTCTATTGTTAGAGAGAAAAAAATTCCTTTCTTCACAATAACTTAATGTGTTTGCCATTCAATATGATTAAGACACCCCCCCTTTTTTTTCCACGTAGATCGGTTACTTAGTCAGTATTTCCAGAATATTTTAAAGTAATATTTACAAAGGAGTTAACGCGTTTTGTAGCACAAAAATTTCAGTCTCAAAACAAACATGCATCTAAAAATGTCATTAAACAATAGTAGTTCAAAATATACACGCGCCGACGGTGGTATTTTAAATTGGCCAGGGAGTATGTTTCAAATTCATTCGAAGTGTTTATGCCCAATTTATTTTATTTATTTATTTATTGGAAAAATTGGAATCAGATCTAGAAATGATAAAGCATGTTAAAACGTCTTGGAAATACTACAGTGTAGCACTTCGCCTTTGGTGTGACGAGACTTTCACACCTGCACAGTGTCAAATGATTTTGATTGACAGGACAAGCACATGGACTTCATGTGAACTTGAAGCAGGAAAATAAAAACCGATTATGACTGTCAAACAAAGTGAATTTGTTGATAAATAAAAAAGGTTACTTTCACTGCCTGATATATTTAGATAAAAATTAAGATTTTTTGTTTATACAGGTACATATGTACATGTAGATGCATTTGTGGAAAGGGGGGCTAAAACAGAATCTCTCTCTCTCTCTCTCTCTCTCTCTCTCATTTGTCCGTTTAATCAAAACTATGACACGTATTACTTAAATACCAAGTTCTGAAATTTTAATCTATAACAAATAATATGAATGCTTCTTTGTATCACCTTGTCCGAGTATAATCACGGGGAATTGTCTACAGATACATGTAGAAGTCTGCTGAATAAATCATCATCATAAAAAAAAAAAAATAAGAATAAACATATTTATTTTACAAGTAGAATAATTTTATCTTTTAAACTACAGCGTTCGGTAACAACGACAATGTTTTACAGCGATAAAAATCGTGTGATTAAACAGCTGAATAAAAACATCATACATATGTGCAGAAAATATTGTAAGAAACTTAATTAATAGTTTTACTAAAGGCGCATGTTTCATCTTTCTTAGGATAATTTTTGAATATTTATTTATTTATTTATTTTCCGCCTGACATTAGAATACAATAGAATAGATACAATGCATGGAAAAGATCAGAGGCATTCCGAATAAATCGTTCACCTTGCATTCACCGTTCGTTCACCGTTTACTTTGCGCTCGCGTTCGCGCTCCGTTCGCGTTCTGCGTTCGCTCACCTACCATTCACCAAGTTGCGTTCAGCGTTCACACATCGTTCACTCACCGTTCGCTCTGCGTTCGTTCATCGTTCAAGTGGGAAAGTAGAACGTTTCAGGGACTGTAACTGGTGTTCTTTATATTCTGTGAGTAAATAAATGAACTATTTTATAATATCTAATTTCATAATAAGAATGTAAAGAAATTTGTCAGAAGGAAAGTGTATTTTTGTCTACTACATGTACTACGAAAGAAAAGCGGAATGATGAACCCGATTTTTTAATAAATGGTATGATCTAGAAACACTACAAAGGACTTTCCAAATGCAAAAACAATGTCATATTCCTGGTAGAAATCAAACATTCAATTTATTGTTTTGATTATAAAATAATGTAAGATAAAAAAATCTATCAGAAATATTCACTTGCCCGATCGGACAAGTACATCAGAAGTTTCACTTGCCTGAATTAAGAATTTACTTGCCCTGGGCAAATGGACAACAGTTAATGTTGATCCCTGGGGCTTTACAAAATTTGATGACATGAATACTCTATACTTTGTATTATATGGACAAGGAGCTAGTTTGATTCATTACAAAAATTGTCTTCTTTTTCTAAATTACTTTTAGCTGGAGCTAGTTTCAAGTAGAAAATTATCAATCTTGGATTCCAGATAAGATCAGGTAAGCTGTATGAAATAATGGAATAGCTACTGAAATAAATCTCAGCTGATAACCATATCAAAGTATAACCTGCTGACCTCACCTGATGACCATATCAAAGTATAACCTGCTGACCTTAGCTGATGACCATATCAAAGTACAATCTGCTGACCTTAACTGATGACCATATCAAAGTATAACCTGCTGACCTCAGCTGGTGACCATATCAAAGTATAACCTGCTGACCTCACCTGATGACCATATCAAAGTATAACCTGCTGACCATATCAAAGTATAACCTGCTGACCTTAGCTGATGACCATATCAAAGTATAACCTGCTGACCTCACCTGATGACCAAATCAAAGTATAACCTGCTGACCATATCAAAGTATAACCTGCTGACCTTAGCTGATGACCATATCAAAGTATGACCTGCTGACCTTATCTGATGACCATATCAAAGTATAACCTGCTGACCTCACCTGATGACCATATCAAAGTATAACCTGCTGACCTTAGCTGTTTTCTGACAGCATACACACTGGTTTCTCCTGCTGCTACTAGCTCTCGGATTTTTTGTCGGACTCGGGGGTCCAGCCTCTCTTTGGTGGACTCTGGGTCTGGGAGTGAAGTAGTGGGGGCTTCAGCTGTGTTCAGTTGCAGCTCTCCATGAAATTCATGGGCTTTCTCTATAGGTAACTGGACATAATACCTAAAAAATAGAAAATGTTATGAGTACTTACATGTAATAGCTTGAATTCATTCTTAGTTTTTTTTTTATTTCTTTTCGATAAATGCAATGCTTTCTTTTTTTAATATCATATGTTCATCTGACCCTACAGATACATTTATAAGAAATGTATTTTGATTTACATCACATTTATTCTATTTAATGGTCACATATTGCACACTTAAACACTGCATACCTGCACATCTTCATTATTTTTTAATTGATTCTCCATCAGATCTTTGTGACAGGTGAAGTAAGTAACTACTGTATAACAGGTTAATTCTATTTGAATTTTTCAATTGATCCCTCAAAAGTAGCAGTTAAATTTACAGCATATTCACTATCAGGCAAAAACTGAGAAACGCAGAAGAGATCAGTTATGAAAAGGAAATTATCTAAATAATGACTGTATTAACTTACAATTCTTTGCCAATATCATTGGTTCCCAAAACCTTCAGCTGATGAAATGCATTGTCCATTGCAGCTTTGAGGGATTTCTTATCTTGATTAAAATCTACAGCAAACTCTGGAAACTTCTTGACCTTTTTGATATATATTCTGACAAAAATACAGATAATCTACAGATTTGGTATATTTATATTGTAACTGTATCTACATCTCTGTAGTAAGTACACAAAGTTAGCATCCCTTTTGTTCTGTTAGTAATATTTAACTATATGCATTTTCATTTTTCCCCCCAGATCTTTATCAATTGTCTAGCTTTTTATGTTACTAGGTAATACCTTGCAGGACACGTTTGTTTGTACTCTGTAGATGTGTTTTTGGCATTTCCTCGTCGCCTCGGCCCAAACTGGCACTCCATGACCACTGCCCTACTCCCTGTACATTTAACATATGATAATTTATATGACAAACATATAATTACATTTCCAATATGACTGGTAAATAACAGATTGTAATTCCTTCTACTAATACTGTATTTCTAGTCAAATCACTGCAGTATGTAACACAAGATGCAACATTAACAAAAGTTGCAACTTAATATTAATAAATAGAATATTATGCATATTATTTTCACAAAAAGTATGGTCTACACTTGTACAAAGTTTTACTGAAAATAAGCAGAAACTTACTTGAAGTATTGAAGCATATTCTTACTTCTTAAGTAAAAAATGTAATTTATAAAAATTTTAAAAACACTGAAGTTGCATATTTTAATACAGTTTTCAAATATTATTGAAATCTGGAAATAAAAGGATTGTGGGAGGACCATTGTGAAAAATTGTTACTTTCAAGCATTCAATAAATTAAGCTCTTCTGGTCTTGGACCAGTCAAGTTAAATAAAATCAAAATCTTCAGGAAAAATGTCGTGTGTCAGACATAAACTTCTTGTCAAGATTTGTTTAACTATGATTAATTGTCAATTAAGATTTGTACATTTTGTTTTATCTTTTTTCTAAAAACTTGTTATTAGTCTGGATGCTAAAAACCTTATATTTAAACATTCCTCACCTAAATTCATAAAAGGAACTCCATCAAATGGGACATACTGTGACCTCCACATTAGTCTGGTGGAGGGTTTGGCAGGGCAGGGGGACTGACGGGTGCCCCAGAAACTCTGGGTCTGCTGCTTGTGGTAGGTCAAAAGAAGATCAAGGTCAACTTCAGAATCAACATACCCTCTGTAGTAGTCACCTATTTTCTGAAAAATTCAAAATTAATTATTTGATTAATTATGGATACAATTAACTATATCCATTAAAAAGTGTTTAAAATGATTATTATGAATAACCAAGCAATACATGTATTGTTTAATGAAAATGGTTGTTTATTAAACAGTTGAATGGTTTTAGTGCTTGTAAAATAAAATGTCCATAGGTGTACTTGTACTGGAAAGTCAATACTGTGTATGTATATATGTATTAAATATATACACATTTGTTTTTTTTTTAATTTAACCCAGAATACGTTTGCAATATACATGTAATTCTAATATTGCAAAAAAGTAAACAAGATACAAACTGTAATTGATTAATTGTCAATTAAAACCATCAAATAATGATAATCCATGTAATTGATTAATGAAATTTGCTCATTTGGCATCCCTAACATATATACATGTAAATATATGTAATTTATACACCAATAAAGATACTACTAGTACTATACTTGCCCTTAATTTGGTTCATGTTGGTTTTATTTTTTTTTTCAGATTACTATGGAGGAATTTGCCATTGACCCGCTTATATGTCAGTGTGTTTTTTTTTGCCAGAATCAGTTGCCAACTTCAGATTAATATTTTATTGTAATTACCTTTGTTTCAAAGTGTATTTTGGGAGTATGACATCAATATGTGACCTTTTATTGACAAATTAAACAACTATAAGATCTATTAAATCTGTAAGCATTTGTGTTATATGCATGTGGTGACCTTAGATCAACCTTTATATATGATAATCGTTGGTGTTATTACATTAATACTATATTTCCTCTTCCAGAAAAATACCCAATTTTTTAGCACTCACTTATAAGTCATACATAGTCAAAATTTAATTCCCGAAAATTCAACTTACAGGCAAGTATATACGGTATGTATTAATACTTTTAATTGAAAAAGTATGAATTGGGCTGTACGTCATACAATTTGGGGGCTCCTCAAGTATGGGACATTGTAGTTTAGTGACTTCTATCCACCATACTGATCCACAAGTCTTGTATTGTGAGGATCACTAACAGCTGAGACTGACCTGACACTTGTTCATCCTCTGAGCCCACAATGGAGTATCTGGAGGGAGAACATCAGCGTTATCTGGCATCCCTTCATCGACAGATCCAGTCCCTGAGCGACAGCTCTCTGTATCCTGCATGTCAGTATCTCCTACAAACCAAAAGTCTCTGATAAGACTAAGCTCTACTGATTTGTCAGTATTTCCTACAAACCAAAAGTCTCTGATAAGACTAAGCTCTACTGATTTGTCAGTATTTCCTACAAACCAAGTCTCTGATAAGACTAAGCTCTACTGATTTGTCAGTATCTCCTACAAACCAAAAGTTTCTGATAAGACTTAGCTCTACTGATTGGACTTGTGATAGTAGAAGAGATAAGTTGCACCTGGGCTTCTCAGACTTCTCTTTAGGTTAATATTTACTGAATTTGTAATCTTTCTTAATCATGTACCAAAACTGAAGGAGGAAAATAGATTTTAAATTTTCAAGGTTATTCTTTTAAAATCTTAGAGGAATATGAGAATCATGAGCCTTGGTATAGTCTGTGTACAAAGTTACCAAAACTGTAGTGTAAGGGCTATTTGGAAAGTATTGAGACATTCTGATAATTTTCTTTTCTAATCAAACATTTTTTGGTGAATAATTGTGTTAATATCCTACATGTTTGTTAGGGCTGTCACGGTTCCAAAATTTTTCGGGTCGGGTCGGTTCTGTAAATTTTCGGTTCAGTTTCGGGTTTTTTGGGTCGGTTATTTACATCTATTTTAAACCTTAATTTCATGAATTTAACTTGAAAAATCTTTATTTGTTACATTAAAGGACAAGGTATGGTAATGGCCAAATAGGCCCCTTATTTGATGTAAAAATCAGAACGCAGTTAAAATTGTGATAGTTCATAGTTAAGAACTCAAAACGATGCTTGTTTTAAAACGAGCACTAATTTTGATTCAAAACTTAAACAGAGGCCATAAGAGGGTGCAGACGTATGACATTTTCCTGAATTTCCTCAATTCTGTTGGAAATTTGTCAAATTTGAGATACTTTTCACTTCAGGAAACATAGAGCACAAGCTTGCCTATCTGAGATTTTTATACATAAGATGCATCTGATACTAGTGTATGAAATATATAAATTTGGTAGATAGGCAAGCTTGTGCTCTATGTTTTCTGAAACAAAATGTGGTGTAAAATCAATGGAAATTCACGTAAAAATGAGAAAATTCAGAAATTGACATATTTTCTGACCTTCCTGTGACCTCTGTGTATCCCATAATTTAGAACGAATACTCACTTAAACAGGTTTTTATTGATAAACTGTGACATCATTCTAAAAGACACCCCAAACCAGGGGCCAAAAAGGGGTCTTAACCTATCTTGTCCTTTACATTGAAAATAAGTCTTAACCATGCAAACGTCTAGACATCGGTGACTTGGCCTACTATTAGCCACAACCTGACCATTCCTACTTGTTTTGATAATAATCTAATACTTCCGTGACAAGTGTTCTGTCATGGAATGAAGTAGATTTCAGTTGTGATGTTTATTTATCACTGTTATCGTCATCATTCCTTTGATTTCAACGCCATTTTTTTAAATGAACAGACTCTAATATATAACCAGACCTGAACCAAAATCCAGAAAAATGGAACCGGAACCGAACCGAACAACTTGGACCGCAGTTCTCGGTTATTTCCGTTACTCGTGACAGCCCTAATGTTTGTGCATTCTCTTTAAAGAGGGTTCATCACCTAGTTTATCCTCCTCTTTGGGTTCAATTTCAAATGTCTGATCAGCATTTACAGCAATGATTGTGGCCATATCTGGGTGGACCACCTGCCATATTTGACCCTCCCTGGTGATGTCATTTGTTCCATTGACAGCAATGATCTGTATGCCATCTGTAGTTGTCAGGAGCTGTCCACTGGGCAATGTAAGCCCTGCTGGAGAGGACAGCAGGCCCTGAATGGTGGGGTTAGCCAGACTAGGGGACACTGTAAAAGTGAACAATTACAGAATATTACCAAAGTAACAGACATATTATTTCTTAAAAGACTTGTCAAAATATTTTATAAGTAAAAGAAAATGTCAACATTTTTTTTTTTTTACATTCATATATTGAAACTGATCAATGGAATATATTATGGTGCACATGCCAGTACAAAGTTTTATAACATTATTTTAAGCAATTTAAAAATATCAAACCCTAATACTAAATGGAGTTAGCTTAACTTAATTAAAATGGTTGTCAATTAATAATACATGTACTACAATGTACAAAAAGTTGTATACTAGAGGTAATGGCTAGTCCTGTCTCTGTATCCACAATTGTTTCATCATTCAAATCATCCTTCAGAGTTGGATCAATTGTGATGATGTCATCAGCTTCTGTGCCAGATACCATGGTAACAGTGTTAATGACTTCAGAAGTTGAACTTACCATGTCTAAACAATCCACCATTGTTTTTTTCTAAAATGTTACAGAAATGATCAATAATTTCTTTTATAACTCCGTATATATATATATATGTATATAAAATATATTATTGGATTGGAGGCATGCAGGTTGTAGCCAGAGATCATTTGAAGTGGATGATTGCATGAGACAGGGGTTTTGAAGTACACTTTCAGTCATTTTCCATGAGTCCAGGTGAAGTGGAAAGAGGGAGGGGGCTGCAACCAGGTAATTTTTGGTATGTACAAATGCATTTGTTAATCACCAGGTGCATTTTTTATTCAATTTTTTAGGCATGCTAAAATTTTCATTGTTTTTGTCTGTAAACTATTCATTAAATCTCAAGAAAACAAAATAGCTATACATTTACAAATACTCAATATTTCAATAAATTCAGTTTTTTTTATTATCAGTATCTCTTTTTTTCCCCTTATTTTTTCTTAATGAAAATGTTGTGGAGGCCTCAACACACATTAATGCCAATGATATGTATCAATAATTCCCAGTTCCTGAGAAAAAAATGCAAATCCATATAATGGCCTTTTAAATATGTAACATGCGAGGAAAATGTGATGGACCAGAAAAGGATTTGAACCCGAGTCCCCTGAATCACTAGTGAGATGCCCTACCAACTAAGCTATGTGGCCAGTACCTGCCCAACCACCACATTCCTCTCTCCTGAAAGGTCTTTGCACCTGAAGACACCAACTAAGACCGTCCCTGGCAGGTCTTTTACCTGTCTCTTCCAACGCATCTGGACGAGGCACCAAGTGTAACTCATACTAACTGGCAAGGGAGAAAAATGTGACTGACCAGACCAGGATTCAAACCTGAGCATGAAGTGCGAGGTCAATATGCTCTCTCTAACTTAGTCTAAGGTCTATAGAGATTCAACTCATAAAAAAGCTGTTTTTGTTTAAATTTTTTTTTTAATATCAGTTAATGCAAATGTCTAAAAAAAAAAATCAGTGTTTGTAATATTCAACATTACAGTTTCTCATAAAATGATCATTATGCCTTACTCATTAATTATGATGTCACAATTACAAACCGCTGCAAAATATCTGTTTTTAGAAACATCAACTTTATAGTGACTATTGCGACGTCATTATTGTCACTTCACAAACTGAAGACTGTTGCAATCAGATAAGGAAATAACGAACAGTAATCAAGCTCAAAAGTCCATAGAAAAAATACAAATCAGGAGCAGACCAAACACGCTGGCCTCTAAAAATATCAGAGGTGGGATCAGGTGCAATGGAGGAGTAAGCATCACCTGCAGACCGGTCACACCCGCCGTTTGCTCTTTGTCATGATTGGGAAAATGGAAAAATCCACAGACAATTCAATGTGTAAATAATGGCCTAACAATTAGGATGAAAATTGTCAGTCACTTAATGATAGATCGTGCTGACAAGGTAATGTATTGACCATAGAACTTGCAAAATTATAACTTTAATTGACACTGTTGATATTCTTGTTTCATCAACTTGTTTGTCAGTAGCTTGCCTGGTTGTAAAAATTGTTTGTATAGAGAGCCTGCTCTTGCATACCGAATCAACTGGGAGACATAAACCCCAAAGGCAGGTGATAAGGGTATATTGCTACTTAAAGCTATATATGGCATATCTGAGCTAAAAAAATAAAAATACAAGATTGAGTGTAAATGAACATGATATTTGTTATTTACATTCAAATTAAAATTTTCACCCATTTTGAACTTGAATAACCCCACATTTCTATAGTTTAACTGGCTTTAAACTGTGTCTGATATTTAAATGTGGAGTCAGTAAATAAATCGGTTATTGTTTTAAGTTTATAATATCTATGAAACGTACGCAATTGATTTAAATTGTGTAATTTACAGGAAAGTCCTATCTTTATATAAAGAAATAAAACAAATAGAAAGATCTTTTTAATTTTAGTTTAAGTCTGAACTTATCAAAAATACGCCATATAATTATGACTTTAAGTAAGGGAAGTTGACGACAGAAAAATGAAGTCATCATGTTAATCATAAAGTTTTGTTGTTGAGTTACCATTAACATCTTTTTCTAATAAAATATCCAAATACAAAACAGATGTATCAGACTCTGTGGTATTTTTGTTTCAAGTTCACTGAAATATATCGAAATATGAATGGAAATATAACTATTATAATTTGTTCTAGAAAGGATCCAAGACACCCCCTTGATCGGGATCCAGGTTTTTCTTTATACTTGTAAAGGAGAAAAATATGGCATACAATACATACTTTTAAAAAAAAATCAAAGAGGGGGGGTGCACAATATTGCACGTCTGCCAATAAAATTTCATGCATTAGTTTGTAGTTGCTTTTTGATGCAAAAGGTTCATTAAAACGTGTATATCCACCTTCTTGATACACAGTTAAGAGTAGATGGCTATACAAAATTTTTTTTAAAAAATTGTTAGATCCACCTTTTCAACTCGCATAATAGATGGTTATACAAAATTATTTTAATAGGTCTAAAGAAGGCTATATATATATATATATATATATATATATATATATATATATATATATATATATATATATATATATATTCTTTCAAAATATAAACTCTGTTTAACAACCAAAAAATTTAAAACTCATTTTACTGGAGTTTCCTTTTCATTTATTTATTTCGTTTTTTTGTTGTTGTTGTACTGTACCTGAACGTATTAGGTTCGGGGACCCGGGTGAAGGCTTATGATCAAATTGAAAACATAACCATGATAACACAGCTCTACTGTGACTCACATTCATTGTTTAACCATAAATATATAACTTGCAAGCCCTTATATTGTAAAATCGTACTTCAAATACTTTAAACCTTAAAACATGTGTTTTTCAGTTTGTTTATGTTTTCATTTAGCGGGGAAAGCAAAAAGAGGCAGAAGGGTGTGAAAACGAGTCACCAACCTCGAAATCATACGACCTCGTCTTCGATCAAAATGGCGGATATGGTATACGCATGCGTGCATTTCTGACCTATATAATGTATAAGTACAAAAAGGTCAAATCTAAACATAATAAATATCATATACATGTACATATATATTCATATATACATTTTTTTTTAAATTTATATCTAGGCTAATAAAAAATATATATTATCGTATATAGAGAGTGATATGATCATGCCCATGTATTGGTATTTAACTGACGCTGTGGCCCCGGAAGTGAAGTGAATAATGTAAACACTCTTTGGCTGGATAATTTAAGAGATGTTGGAGTTTTAATGATTTAAGAATGTCTACAGCTCTTGTCAATAATATTCACTTTGAAAATTGGTCTGCAAATCAAGTTGCAGACTGGTTGAAAGGTAATACGTTATCGAACTTTATTTTACATAAATAAAAAATTCAATCAGGCTCTAACCACTGCTAACGTTAACCACACATTTTATTGAAAAAACTATATATCAAGTGTACATATAATATGTTGTGTATTAGAGGTTATTCAATATTTTGTAGTTGTATATTGAATATATTTCACGTTTACGTCATCTGATGTCACACAGGGGCTGATAAATCCCATTGCCCGACGCCCGGGACTTGTGAATTTTAGGAGAGGGCAAGTGAAATTTTATCAACCACTTGCCCGTGGGCGAATTGAATATTGTACTTCGAAGTTGGCTAAATCGTCGTATTGACTGACAAAGAACAGCAATAATTGTTTTGTGTACATTTGCTAAAGTCCTAGCCAAATGCAATGAGAGAAGCAGGATTAAATAAACATTACCAGTCGTATTAATTTGGAATTTTTAAAATCTTTAATTGCTATGAAAAAAAAAGAGAAATAATGTCAGGCTCTTTTATAGGATTGATTTTGAAAGGAGGGGGCCGGGGGATATTAGGGAAAACTGGCAGCTGAAAAAAAAAAACAAAAAAAAAACTTTGTTTAACTCCCACAAAAACAGAAATTTTGCTTTGGGGTTGGGGTGGGGTTAGGGGTGGGGGATTAAGGTTTATTAGTGGGGGACCAGCCTTTCAATGAATATTTTTAGTCTGAATTAAAAGTAAAAATTTACACTGAGAAAAAAAGTTTTTGGGGGGATGGTCCCTTGCACCCCCAAACAACCCCCACCCCAAATTATATATTCACTTTTGTTGACCTGAATTAAGTTGGTAGCAAGTGAGATAGCTTTCCAAAACTATTTGTATTAAAAAAAGAAGCAAAGTACATTTCTTTTTATGTTGCATTTACTTATGAACCCTGGATGGGGCATTCATGTCCTGTGAACACATTTCTAGTTTGGTCATGTTACTGCATTTACTTTCCAAAGTAAAATGTATTCATAGTAAAATAGGTAAAGACCTAATATCACATTTCATTTGCTTTTTTTTCAACTTACCAATCAGTAAAAAGTTTTTTACTTTGCATTATTAAATGCATTTTCCACCTCAATAGATAGTGAATCTAACAATCTTCCTGCATTCTCAATTTTCAAGGGTTTATTGGCTAGCCTGTACAGTATTCATGGTGATTTTTTTTTATTGTAAACTTGACCTGTTTTACACTCTAATGATTAGGGATCAGAAGCCCTTGGTTGCTATGGTAAATTGTTTATTGTTTGTATAGTAGCTGTCTGACCCTCTGTAAAGAATATATAGATATTTTATAACCCCCCCCCCCCCCATGAGGACATGAAGTTTATGGGGGATATATTGGAATCGGCATGTCTATCTGTCTGTAGACATGATTTTGTCTGGACCTGTTCTTACAAACCTGTATGAATTTGTCCGAAAATTTATACACACATTATTCACCAAATAAAGATTTTCATATAGTCATGATAAGACAATTTTTCTTCATTTTACAGGCATTTGCTTAATTTTTATAGATTTAGTTATTTTTTTTTAGATGTTATAATTGTACTTATTACTATAAGGTCTAGAATCATCAAACTTTGTCTGCTAATGCATCTTGGGTAGATGGCGTGTTTCACATTCAAGTCAGATCACTGTAACCTTTAATTAAGATGATATGACATAATTTGGTAAAAACATGTCAGGCTCATAACTGTAATAATATTTAGCTTAGAATCATCAAACTTAGTCAGTAAATATATCTTGGTAGAAGGTGTGTCAACCCTACCTTAAGATCACTGCAACCTGTAATTTAAGTTAATTGAATTTGAAATAATATGGCCAAATCAGGGATGGGGTCAATTATTTTAGAAAGTAATTAATTAAATTACAATTACTTTGACTTTTTCTTCAATTTAATTACAATTAAATTACAGGCTTTCTAAGACATGTAATTAACTAAATAACAATTACTTTGCAAAAGTAATTAATTAAATTACAAATTACATTTTTAATTTTTTTGAAAATTTTTATAATCCTTGTCAATGAATATACAGAACATCATTTATTTGTATACCGGTATATAAGCTCAGCCTCTGCACAAACAGTACAAGAAATAATATGCTATAAGCATTGTGTATCATTCTGGTTTAATTTAAAACATTTATTTACAAAACAATAAGAATCTCTTAAAGAACTATCCGAGATCAGTTTGATGCAGTTTCCACCACACAAAACCTACATGTACACAAATTGCATGGCTTATGATATTTGATTAAAAGTGAGTATTTTAATAGAGTGAAATGAGTCGCAACTGTTTCAAAATTTACATGATTAGAAAGAAACTAGTTTATTATCATCAAGCCAATCATTTAATTATTTTTTTGTAAGCATTCACCTAAGATTTTGTATAATTGAAGGATTGAGGATATGTTTAACAATAAAATAAAAACCAGTAAAATGGGGAGGTAGTGGTGACGATATTTCATGAATATATCATGAATGTGTATTATATAAAGTAATTGAATGTAATTGAAAAAGTAATTGAAATTACATGGTATTTTTTCAGTGTAATTAATTAAATTGCAATTACAAGTAATTTAAAAAATGTTCAATTACAAATTACTTCCAATTACTTCAAAAAATGTAATTAATTACAGTCAATTACAATTACTTTTTTCAATCAACCCATCCCTGGGCCAAATATGTTAAAATCCTTTTTGGGCTTGTGTAGATTTGAGACCTAAAATCAAGAAACTTTGTCAGCAGTGCATCTGTAGAGAAATGTGAATTGCAGCTTAAACAGTCATGAAAACTTTAAAAAAAGAATGACTGGGGATAAAAAAAAACTCTATAATTTTTAGGTAGGTAGTTTCAAAAAATGTCAGAGTAACTTTATTAAAAACTATTGCATCAAGATGGATACAGCTTTATAACAAATTTTCAAATTTTTTTAAAAAATCTTTTTAATATTATAATGACATAAATTTGCAGTTATAGTGCATTACACAGCAGATAGTGTAAGTCCATTTGTCCCATGGGAGTAATTATCTCAAGGATTTCAGTTTCCCAAATTGCATCTGTCCAGTTAAAGATTAATTAATGAATTCAATGTAAGAATTAAGGCTGCCTTAACCATTTCTCTTAGAGCATCTCTTATTGAGCAGGTGTTATCTGTACATGTATCTCCCTGGACTTAGGTTGAAGAATTAAAGATCTGGTCTCTTAATTGCAGTTAATAGCATCTGTCAATTTAAATACAGAGTTCTTGATCATGCTAACCTTTTGTTTTCAAAATTTATTTGGTATAAAGTTGTCGAAATTAATTTGATATCATATTTTATGATATTTTTATTTTATTTTTAAATTTATTATATGTAAACAAACAAATTGCAGAGTGTGATGTCTCACTAAGATGAAAGATGATTCAATTAAGTTTTACAAAATAATAAAAAAAAAATAATGTAATGATTAGTATTTTGATGTTAAATTGTTAGGCGGTGGCATAGTTCATCATTCACGAAATTTTTTTTTACATAAGTAATGGAATTTTGTCTGTCAGTGTTAACATTGTGAAACACTGCAGTTCCATAAACTACTTTTATTGACTTAGTACCTTTTGTAAAAAACCCAGCGGGGGGGGGGGGGGGGGGGGGGGGGGGGATTGGGGATTTGTCCATTCAGACACTTCTGGTTCAAAATGGTACTCATCCTACAGAATTGGTTCATGCAATTTCAATAAACTTGGTACACAATTAGATTACACAAAGATCCATAATTTGCAGATTTACAATTGGACTAACAGTATTGCAGTGCATGGTTACAGAAAAGTAGAAATGACTATGAAGTGTCTGTAATAATTCTCTAAAATATTTTAATCCAGGTCTAGATGATGTGATACAGCAGTATGTTGCACACTTCAAGGATAAAGACATTAATGGGAAAAAGTTGTTGCTGTTGACACATTATGACTTGGAAAAAATAGGAGTCCACAAATTAGGACACCAAGAGTTGATATTAGAAGCTGTGGATCTTCTGAGGTCTCTGGTATGGTAACAACTGCTCTCTCATATTTCTTTCAAATTGTTTTCCTTTTATTTCAGAACAACAAAACACAATTTCATTTCCATCATGTAGAGTATTGTTAAGAAAAAAACTGTAATCAGATAGCTTGAGTCAAAACAAAAAAGTAGCTAATGATTCCCCTAACACGACTGACTCAATTAAATCATGCCGATTGACAATCTTTTTTAAATAAGTGTATTTACATGTAAATATTTTTCATCCAAATCAATTTTTATATACATGTATCATACTCAAACACACACTACACCAGATATATCATACATATACTATATCACATGACACACATACGTACACCACTTCTATTATAGACATACACATAATAATATACAACATATATCATACACACATAGGGCGTGCTTGATTTAGCCTAACTTAGTGTACACCATTGTACACCGGTGTGAAAGGTGGTGGTGTATAATCAAGTGCATTTTACGAGGTGTAGTGTATATAGTTTAGTACATGTTTTGCATATCGCCAGTGTATGGCTAAATTTTTTTTGGTTTAAAGTGAAAAAAATGAAATACATTAAGAATTGACAAAATTATTTAAAATGGTTAAAAATAATTTCAATGTCATCACTTACACACAAAAGACAACTTGAATGTGATTTCTTATCCTTTATATTACATAAAATCACTTCTTAAATTTTCAATCGTACCATTCTCCGCCATATTGGATTCAGTGTACACCTTTCAACACATGCCCTAAATTTGGTGTAAGAAAGTGTACACCAAGTGTACACCAAAAGTCTACACCCCTGCACTTGATTAAGAAAGGTGTACACGGTGTAAAAGGTGTAAGTAAATCAAGTTCGCCTATACTTTACCACATATATCAAACACACACTATTCCACGATACCATATGACATACAGAGAAATATACCACATATATCATACACACACTATTCCACATGATACCATATGACATACAGAGAAATATACCACATATATCATACACACACTATTCCACATGATACCATATGACATACAGAGAAATATACCACATATATCATACACACACTATTCCACATGATACCCTATGACATACAGAGAAATATACCACATATATCATACACACACTATTCCACATGATACCATATGACATACAGAGAAATATACCACATATATCATACATACACTATTCCACATGATACCATATGACATACAGAGAAATATACCACATATATCATACACACACTATTCCACATGATACCATATGACATACAGAGAAATATACCACATATATCATACATACACTATTCCACATGATACCATATGACATACAGAGAAGTATACCACATATATCATACACACACTATTCAACATATATCGTACATGTTATATAACACACCAGTGCTATCATAGTCATACACATAATATACAACATATATCATACACATACTCTATCACATATGTATCATACACATACAATACATGCACTAAACCACTCATATATATTATACACATACAGAACTATACAACTTATATCAAACACACACTATTACCACATATATGCATACTATACCACTTAATTACACACTATTACGACATAAATGCATATGCATACTATACCACTATGATACAGTACACATAATTACCCCATTTATATCAGACACCCACTGTACCACATATGTCAAACATACATTTTGAAGATATGTGTTTTGTTTCAGCGTTATGATTATGAAACCGAGAACCTGCAGTCCTTGGCTCTACAGCTGGGTTGTAAAGCTAGAAGTCTATTTAACGAAGTTCAGCCCCGTAACTTGGAGAATGACCCTAACATGGCAAACAACTCCCACACAAAGCCACATCACATGACTGTGGACATCCTGTCTTCTGTAGCTGACCTAATTATCACACTAAAGTGTGTCATCCAGTGGTTAGACAGGTAAATACTCACCTCACGTAATCTCAGACTACCTGAGTACATGATGGTTATTCTCTATGGATTACCTGGGGATAACTATAGATAACTTCTATGTGGTGTTAGTCTACAGTACATGATACACTGGTAATAGCAACCTCTCCTCACATGGCCTTATTCTGTTATATACATGCATACATGTACATGACAGGTGATAAACATGATAAAAGATGCCTTTCATATGGTATAATTCTACAATGATGGAAAATACTGATTTTTTCATATTTAAGGACGCTATAGGAAATGCCTGACAGAAATCAGTATTGTCTTCAGGGAATTACAAACTACCCTGTATCAGAATAGTTCAATTTCTGTGATGCATGTGTATCTATCATCAATGACCTTAAAAATATGAATTATCCAGAAGCTGAATTATGAGATGTATATTTAAGATATGTCACTCCTGACATTGGTTATTTCAAAGATTTTTTTAAAAGTATAATAATAGCATAACTCAAAGTCGCAAAGATCATATCTTATTGAGCAATGGTACAATTAATTTGACAATTTTGCACTTAAATTGTGAATTTTAGGTTTATCACTTTAACCTTTGTCATATTTTACCAAATGTAATCATGGAAAAATATATTGTTGAATAAATGCTGCAAATTAATGCACATAAATTATTGTCTGACTTTTTGCACTAAAGTATTTTCTTCATGCTTTTTATGAACTGTTGAGTGATTATTTGTTGAAAGTATCATGCAACTTTTAAAAGAGGAAATAAAAAGTTGGGCACAGTGATGAAAATTTTGTGATATGGCTAAAAGTCTGCAAATTTCAGGCGTAAAACAAAATTTATGTTAATTTTATCTTTACTTGCTCAGTATATCTGCAATTTTTTGGCAAAGTGTATTAAAATTTTTTTTTTAAAACAAAAATATCATTGAAACCTACTTTGAAAATTCTTAGCATATGCTAATGGAAAAATTTCTCTGAGTATAAAAAATAAGGGCCAGCAAATTTACGAAATTGAATGAAACAAATGGTTAGATTTTGAGATTTTTTCTTTAAATATATTCTTCAACCGCAAGAAACAGTCCCTTAGAGATCTTTTTTCTTATCAATTTTGTGAAATTTTTAAATTGAGTATGGTATAATTTGCATTGTTTATTTACTTTGTACATGTATATGTTATAATTCATAATTTTGATAAAAAAGGTTCTGACCAAACTTTTTTTCAAAAGCTGATGAGGGACTTACATGTACCTAAAGAACTCATTGTAGTTAAGCTCATTGTCAGTGTGCAATTAATTAACCCTCACAAGCTTAGGTATGTGTTTAAAGTGTCCTTTCTGTAATATGTATTATTATACCTCATTATAATTATTCTATACAACATATATGATTGAATCTAGATTATCACGTGACAGGGCCATAAATCTTCATATTTCCCTGTCATGCTTTTCATCACATTCAACCTCTTCGGAGACTTAGTGCATTTTCCCACAATAGTTATCGTTCGTTGAATGAAAACTCCTGAGTGTAGTAGACGTCACAATAGCCTGGTTCATGTCACAGAATTGCTGATTGACTTAACGTTAAAATTGAAAGTGAATTTAAGAGCGGGGCAGAATTCAAAAGTTTGTGTTTATTCTTAAAGTTTTTGCATGTTTCGGTATAATAAACAATTAATTCCCATATGAAAAAATAATACATAAAAGTATATTTTTAATATATTTTTAATACAATCATTTTCGTATTGTTTAAAATTAATACAGAAAAAATATATTATTTTTGTATCACCAACAAATAGGTAGATTTTTTTTGTATTAAAATCTGACTTTGATTTTTTACAGGGTATTATTTTTGTATTTTTGGGGACTTAGATTATTTTCAGTATATCATTTTTGTATTTTTGTGGACTTCGTTTTTTTCAAGTGTATTTTTTCTGTATTAAAATTGAACTTAATAATTTTACAGAAAATTACATACAGTTAATCTGTATTATTTTTGTATTAAAATTGAACTTAGTAATTTTACAGAAACTTACATACAGTTAGTCTGTATTATTTTTGTATTAAATTTGGACTTAATAATTTTTCAAAAAATACTATACAATCAGTTTGTATTTTTTTATATTTATTTTGGACTTAGTGTTTTCTTTTACTGAAATTTGTATTTCTTTGAACTTAGGAAAATTTACAGAATGTCCTTGCAATAAGTCTGTTGGAATTAATATTTTTTCTCAGATTTTATTAATTAAGACCACTGCTATAAAGGTTGCTTTTATACTATTTACATTTAATTGCTATTTAGAACAGAAAACTTCAGTAGTTTAAATTAGTTAACTAAACAATTTCATGTTTAAAACATGTCTTTACTAGGTGTGAAATTGTCATTTGGAAAGAGATAGATACGTCTAAGGGGACACCTGTGCTGTACATGATACTTGTAAACACGCGGTAAATTTTGAAGTTTCAGAGTTTCAGACTTTCTTTTGTGTTGAAAATTTTACAGCGGGTTTACAACCGAGTGTTTACAACTATCGCCAACAGCACAGGTGGCCACCTGCAGGCTAACAATAGACGAGTACATGTTATACTACTCAAAGAAATAACATGATTTACCCGTGAAAACACATCCCAACCAAAACAAAAACAAACAACATGGAGAGTTCCACTAATTACAGTACCTACGATGTTTTCTTGACTATACAGCTCAATTTAGTATACATTATATTTAATTCAGTACGTATTACAATTACATGGAATAGAACTATTTAATTATCCGCTTTTAAAAAAAAATTAAATAAGAAATTATTACGAAAGAATATCATAAAATAATATAGAAAATGTTGTGAAATTGGTGTAAAGGATAGTTGTTAAACATTATTTCAATCTCTGGTACCGCATGTATGAGTTAAGTTGTCCGTCAAAAAGGCTATATATTAGCCTATGTATCTCCCGCTCGTTTTGATCATTATACTTGAACTTTATGGTCTACTTCACAGGTCAACTTGAATGTAAAAATGGCTACTCTCAGCGGAAATGATGACCGGAAATAATGATGTTTCGTAATCGGTAAATTCCGTAAGGAATAAAAAATGATTCTGATGATTAAATTGAACATCGTTTTTTTCTAACATAATTTTAGGTTTGTTCAATTGATTCAAGATATTTAAAACCATGTAAATATGTTTTCTCTAACTGTTCCTATCTCAACATCGGTAATTTTCGTATATATGACACAATATGATTGGTCAGATTTTAAAACTCTTCCGTACTGTTCTCTGATTGGTCAACAATATTTCACCCACGCCATTTTGAAAATTCTTCCCGGGACGTGTTGAGAAAGCTGGAGGTGATTTTGAATAAACTCTCATTTGCTCGCGAGTAAAATGGATCGAAAAACAGAAGTTCAGCATAATCATGGTACACAGGATCATATATATGAACCAAGGAAAGCAAATACATAAGGAGACTGACGTTTTTTAGGCATCATATCCGGACTTTTATGGTGTAAACAACGACAGTTGCGGTAAGATTATGTATATTTTAGCACATTAAAGTTTCAGTTTTATAAATAATAACTTAGTACAAAGATAGAGGAACAAAGAATGCCTTTTTTTTTTTACCCCTTTTGTAGTATTGTAGAAAGATAAAATAGTACGGTTATTGGCCATGTGGGGAACAAGGGTTTTTGTGATAAGTTCCGATTGGGGAGGGAGGGGTGGAAGATGGGGGTAATTTTCAAGCCTTTGGCTTCCTAGTTCTAATTCATTCCAATTTTTTCAAGTTTGCCAGAGACGAATTATTTATTTTCCCTTCAAAAACAATTCTGTAATTTGTATAAACTCAAATTTTTTCGAAGGGGGGGGGGGTAGGTTGGGTTCGGGGGGGGGGGGGAGGGAGGGGGCAGTTTATTTAAATAACATTGGGGCACACATTTTGTTTACTCTTTCAACATTTTCAAGGACAGATTGTTTATTATAAATATTTTTTTAAAAATATTTTATAAATCAGCCCCCACTTTTTCTTCTCCAGATTATCAAATCAAATGGTTCTCCCCTAAGAAACCCCAGATTAAAGAAAAGTAATTTCAATGGTACAACTGTATGGAATTTGGTGAACTCCGCTGGATCTTTTGGAATTTCAATTTATAATTATTGTTAATTTTAGTCAGCAGAACATTGAAGAAAAGCTGATTAGTCATGGAGGAAGAAGATCCCTCTCAAGAAAGTATTGCAGGTGTGTGAGCTAAACAAAATCTATATAGAATTATTTTGGATGTGAAAATGTGTGTTTTGTTGAGGTAATGGTTCATTAAATTTTATTATTATATCATTCTGTTCTATATTTCACAGTGATGAAGTCAGATGAGATGACAGGTTGTGTGATTTGAAGATGGACTTCTGCAACAAAGTAAACACTCCTCTACCTTTTCCATACAAAAGAAACAGCAAAGCAGAGAGATCGAAACATTTGGTAAAAGTACAAAGAAAACAGGATTAGTTAAACTTGTGAAAAATATCAAGACTATTGAAGAGCAGATTATATGTAAAAAGAAAGATCAAGACTACAATTGGTAGCTGAATCAGTAGCCTGGCCACATTAATTACTTTTTAATTAGCTATTTGTACATTTGAGGTAATCTGACTGAGTTACTAAAATTGTTTTTTAACAAATATTTCAAATAAATAAAAGATTTTTGAATAACAATCAATAGATGCTATTAAGAACCTCAATCTCCAACCCCTTTTCTTCAAATAACAATTTTTGCCCATGATCATTTTTGTAGTTTTTAAAACTCTGTTTTGTATTATTTTAAGCATTTAAATGTATTTTTTGTCTATCATTCTTGTACTTTTTTGATATTTTTGAAATACAATCCTTCATGCTGATAAAAATACAAAAACAATACATAGTAATACAAAATAAATACATTCTATATTTTTTTCATACTTTTTTGTGCACTGTATTATTTTCATATTTTATATCTTTTTTGTACTTTTAATTGTTCCAGATGAAAAAATACAAAAATAATATATGTGATACAAAATTAATATATTCTATATTTTTTTTTGTATTTTAATTCTTAAAGGTGAAAAAATACAAAAATAATATATGCTAATACAAAATTAATACATTCTGTATTTTTTCTATACTTTTCTATGGACTGTATTATTTTTATACTTTGGAGAGGAAAATAGAGAAATAATACAAAAGTACAAAAACAATACGTTTTTACAGGTCATGTGTATCATTTCTGTATTATTTCGAAAAAATAAAGTATATTAAAAATATATTTTTCTGTGTTTGGCTTTTAAAAAGTCTATTATTTTTGACCTAAATTGGAACCAAGATTTAGAGGGTTCCAAATTTGGTCATTAAAAATATACTTTTTTTGTATTATTTTAGTATTTTTTTCTTGTATTATTTTTGTATTCATTTTCGATATGGAAAGTTATTACATGAATGTTTGGGAAACATGAAAATTTATTCAGCCAAGAAATATCATATTCCCCTTGGGTGAAGCCCTCTGGGAATATGATCTTTCTTGGCTGAATAAATCTTCATATTTCCCTCACTATAATGCAATAACTGTATAATGTTATTGTTTAACAGGGCACCATTTGAGAAAATCTATGACATGGTGTTACTTCGCAATACTCTGGTGAAGCTTGGGATAGATCTGATATCAGCGTGTCAGAAAGATGTTTCCGACCCAAATCCAGAGGAGAAAATATACACTGCTGTAAGTACACACACTACTGTAAGTACACACACACACTGGTGTAAGTACACACACTAAGTAAACACACTGGTGTAAGTACACACACTACTGTAAGTACACACACACACTGGTGTAAGTACACACACTACTGTAAGTACACACACACACTGGTGTAAGTACACACACACACTGGTGTAAGTACACACACTACTGTAAGTACACACACACACTGGTGTAAGTACACACACTACTGTAAGTACACACACACACTGGTGTAAGTACACACACACCCTGGTGTAAGTACACACACTACTGTAAGTACACACACACACTGGTGTAAGTACACACACTAAGTAAACACACTGGTGTAAGTACATACACTACTAAAAGTACACACTGCTGTAAGTATATACACTGCTGTAAGTATATACACTGCTGTAAGTATATACACTGCTGTAAGTATATACTCTAGTGTAAGTACATACACTAGTATCAGTACACACTGCTGTACATACACTGCTGTAAGTACATACACTGCTGTAAGTACAAGTCTTAAGCCTTTATGATCAATTAGCCTGATACAAATTTATTTATTAAATTTAAAGAAAGATTTCTGTATTATGGAATGTATAGTATTATATAGAAAATCAATGTTGTACAGGACAACAGTTATGTAATTTGCTTCAATCAAAGATTCTGAATAGTTCTTCCATTGCAAATATAAACAGAAGAAGTTTATAAATGTTCTTTTTTTCTTTCATTAAAATAGTTAATTACGAGAAATATTGTAAAATTATAGTACAATATTACAAAAAAATTTCGGACATCAAAGTTGCAGCTAATATTGCTTTAATTATCCAAAGACATGTACATTTTTTTTTCTTCCTTGTGATTAATGATTGTGTGAAATCAGCAGTAAAATTTAGTGATACACAGTTGGGTATATAATAAATGTACTAACTGCTTCAGTATTACAAAGCTGTAAGTACAAACACTGCTGCAAGTACATATACTTCAGTTTTACACTGCCATAATTACAAACACTTCTTCAGTATAACACTGGTATTAGTACATATACTTCTTCAGTATTACACTGCTGTAGGTATATATACTGCTGTAAGTACATACTCTGCTTTAGTATTACACTGATGTAAGTACAAGCATATTTCGGGGTAAAAATAAATCATGAATATAGAGTGGGTTTTTTTAAGTCTAAAGAAGAACAAAAGGACCAAGGTGATGCAGATTAATTAGCATCATGGCTAATTGGACCTGTCTTGTTTTTACCTGTTTATTAATTAGTATGTAGTTTTCGTAAGAGTTATTTTTATATATTTGAAGTGTCACATGCTGGCAGATTATTGTGATGGCCTAGTAGTCAACAATACAGAGACTCTGGTGATACAGCCAGCTCTGCTGGAACAAGCCACCATCCGCAAAAAACCTGGAGAGGAACTGGTAACAATTCTTTGTTTGTTTGTTTGTTGGTTAACGCCCCTATCGAGAATTTTTCACTCATATAGAAATGCCACCACTTGCCGATGGAGGGCTGTGAATTTGGAAACAATTCTCTGAGTTACACTTGAAACTGAATAAACAGACATCACAGATTTTTTAATTTGATTGAATTTTCTTTGTAGGGTATGAGAATACATTCAGCATACTATGGTGTACATGTGATTGGTGAAGTGAAGGACAGGGTAAGTTGAAAGTTTGTTGTCTCACATGGTGGGGAATACTTCTGAGATATTGTGCTTGACACATTTAAATTGTATGTTTAACCCCTTAAAATTACAAAGAATTGCTTAATCATAGCCGATATGATAACAGAGCCCAAAATAAGCTACATATTGTATATATTAGAGAAACTCTTACTTTATTGAGCATAAAGAAGAAAATCCCTGCATAATGTAATCAAGAAAATTTAAAGGCAGAAAATTAATACAAGATTTAATGACATTTCACCTTTTCCAATAATTAAAAGCTTATGACCTGAATATTTCTGTATGACTTATTTTACTTGTCAGTCACCAGCTGGTCTGTGTGGGAAGATAGAAAAAGGTGATGAAGTGGTGCAGGTGGACCAGAAAACAGTGGTAAATCAGAATCAGTAACTTACAGTGGTAACAAATCTAAATCAGAATCAGTAACTTACAGTGGTAACAAATCTAAATCAGAGTCAGTAAAACACAGTGATGACAAATCTAAATCAGAGTCTGTAAAACACAGTGTAACAAATCTAAATCAGAACCAGTAACTTACAGTGGTAACAAATCTAAATCAGAGTCAGTAAAACAAAGTGGTAACAAGTCTAAATCAGATTCGGTAAACAAAGTGGTAACAAATCTAAATCAGAATCAGTAACTTACAGTGGTAACAAGTCTAAATCAGATTCGGTAAACAAAGTGATGACAAATCCTTATCAGAATCAGTAACTCACAGTGGTAACAAATCTAAATCAGAATCAATAAAACACAGTAGTAATAAATCTTAATCAGAATTGGTAAAATATAGTGGTAACAAATCTAAATCAGAGTTAGTAAAACACAGTGGTAACAAGTCTAAATCAGAATCAATAAAACACAGTGGTAACAAATCTAAATCAGAATCAGTAAAACACACAGTGGAAATAACCTAAATGAGTTTTAAGACACAAGAAGTGGTAATGATCCTATTTGTGTGTTAGAGAGATGAAGAAAAAAATTGTAACGAATCAATATCTCAAACAGCAAGACTCAGATATCAGAAGTAGTGAAACTAAATCACAGTAAGACTGACAGAATAATGGTAAGAAATCTAAATTACAATCAGTTAGACCCATAAACAGTGGTATGAATCTAAATCACAATCAGTAAGACCCATAAACAGTGGTATGAATCTAAATCACAATCAGTAAGACCCATAAACAGTGGTAAGAAATCTAAATCACAATCAGTAAGACCCATAAATAGTGGTATGAATCTAATCACAATCAGTAAGACCCATAAACAGTGGTAAGAAATCTAAATCACAATCAGTAAGACCCATAAACAGTGGTTTGAATCTAAATCACAATCAGTAAGACCCATAAACAGTGGTATGAATCTAAATCACAATCAGTAAGACCCAGAAAACAATGGTAATGAATCTAAATTACAATCAATAAAACTCAGAAAACAGTGGTATGAATCTAAATCACAATTATTAAGATCCAGAAGACAATGATAAAACAGTGACTAATGAGCAAGTTTTATGGAACCTTTTTCTCCTTTTGCTAAAATTCTTCAAAACTAGATGAGCTACATTATTACTGCATGAAACGCTCACAAACCATATTACATAGCACAACATGACGTCATAATAGGTATTTACTAACGTGTTAGAGAAGTGAAAAGAATCAGTGTATGGGAATAATGAAACATTTAGCAGTAATGAGAGAAATTAAAATATCAACTGTGTTAGATGTCCTCTTTATATGCCTATTTAACATTGAATTTGGTATATAGTCTCACAAAGAGGATGCCTAATTTCTCCAGAAAGGGTAATCCCCCCCCCCCCCCCCCTCTCAAATTAAGATTAATTCCTGCAAGCTCCCGATTTGTATTGTTTAAATGGACTTTTGAGCTTGATTACTGTTTGTCATGATGGAGGAGGGGGGGGGGGGGCTTAAAAATTCTTTCTCAGAGCATAAGTGGAAAAGGGTAAGGCCACAATACAGTTTATAATTTTGCTTAGGAATTTAGAACTATAAAAAATGCTTGAAGAACAGGAGGGCAAAGGTGACTCAGGTAAGAATTGTGTCTTGTTATTGTTTTAGGTTGGCTGGCAGCTTCAGAGATTGGTTGATATTCTGAAGGAAAGACCAAAAGAAGTGCATCTCCTCTTGAAGAAACGTCCTCATCATATTAGTCCATATGGTCAGCTTCCAAATAGACGTCATCAAAACACAAACCTTCACCCCCCTCAAGTAAATACCTTACCCTCCAAGAAGAGGAGATCTCGAGAGGGGGAGCACAATAAACAGGCCAGACCCTCACTTCAGGAATTGTCAAGCTCTGTGCCAACAGATGATCTGTATACAACAAGGTATGTATATTTGTAAACAAAACAAACTACATCTATATAAAATATAGCTCAACACCAATGGATGCTCTTTATACAACAAGGTACTTATAATAATGTAATAACAAAAAGACAAAACTCTAAAAGATGCATTGTTTGAGAATATCAATGTAAAATGGTATGTACACATTTTACTGTATTTCTGGTATAACTGTTTCTCATTACCCTAAACACTAAACATTCTTGTGTGAAGGTGATTTAAATCACTCAAATGAAAAGCCAATACCCATCTTAAAAGGGAAATAATTTTTGAAAAAAAGTAGTGAAAATAGCCATAGGGTGACATTGTTTTGAAATCTTCTCAAGAAACATATAACTAAAATTATAAAACTTAGCTAATGTTTCATTATGTAGTGAAGAGTTTATTCAGATCATGCTCCCAGGGATAGGATGGGTCACAGTTAATTTTACAATACAGTTTTTTTTTCACATTTAGACACCTGTGGTTAAGGAGGGGCAATAATAAAGTGTTTAGTGTTTAACATATAGTGTATGTTTTTGATATGTGAAAATTCTTCAGTGGGAAGTACATGTATCTTTGTCAACAGAGGAAGGCTTTAGTTATTCCAACTTCCTTAAATATTCAAGCATCTCAATTTAGTTCAATCAGATTTGTTCAGTGGTGATAGACAAAATGGGCCAGAAATTTCAGTATTTTACAGGAATGTACATATTTAGGAAATTTTAGTAATCATCTATTGATAGAATGGCCAGAAATAGTAAAACGTGCAGACAATGCTCATGTAGGCCAGAGTTAAAATCGTATACCAGTCTTGGTCACCTGACGTTTGAGTGGGTTACAAATGAAGCTTAGATTTTTACAAGGAATAGATGGTAATGTTATTGAAAGATTTCCTGTACAAAATATAAATTATAATTAGTCACATTCACTTTCAAGCACCCCATGCAGTGCATTTTCAATTTCCAGTCTGGTTAGATGAGAACACAGGAAGATTGATTAGAATATACAAAGAACAAGTGAACATTACAGTGTAATACTATTAATTTGTGAAATTAAAATGTTTATGATATCATTTATGACTTACTTTAGGGAATATACTTGTATACTTTGTTTTAACACTTAAATCAATTAAAATTTTATCCCATATAATTGTGTATTAATCCATTTTGTGGAAGTGCAGTGTATAATTGTGAGAGCTTAAGAACATTTGCTGGGTACTTGTATCTATACTCAGCTGATAGTATAACAGACTAGTACTTACACATTGTGTAACTTGTATCTGTACTCAGCTGACAGTATAACAGACTAGTACTTACACATTGTGTAACTTCAGGAAGAAATAGCAGTCTCCATCAAAGTACAAGGATGTTTTTTCTCTGTTTTGTTTTTTTGTGAAGATCAGCTGTGACTAGAAAAGGTTATGTTATACTGTGCGTAGTAGTGCTCTTTGAATACCAGTTCTTTGATTATCATTTTATTATTTCTGTTGTGTTTTCATATTATTCATATTATTATTTAGTCCAGACCACTTTTATCCTGCAGTGGCGTCCCATACTTGCACGTGCATGTCATTTTTATCATATTTTTATTAGATAGTTAAATGTGTTAAAGAGTCAAAGACGCACTAACATTGCTGCTTTGTTTACAAGTATATTTCTCTTCAAAACATAACATGCTTGCAATAAATTTAAACTAATAAATTCTGGGAAGAAATCCTGTCAAGAAATTAATTGATCTTAAATATTAAAGGAAACGCCAAATTACGTACAGGTCTGCCTCCGTAATTACATGTAAGAACAAATATTATAATCGTTGTTAATAATTTGATTCACGATATCAGAGGAAAGACTATAAGCTTTAGTCAAAAACAGACCTATAGCTGAAAAATAAATTCCATCAATTTCATTAACTTGAGTTAAAGAAAACTATCTTTATTCCACCCCTGTTAGGACCTACATGTAATTGTGTACGCTTAATCATCCATTACGTATAAAATACTCTGTTATTAATTTAAAGCATATTAGAGTAGAAAGGGATTTACCAAGAGAATTTTTCCAAAAAATATTAGTATCTAAGCAGTACTTAATCAACGGAAATCGCATTGGGATCTTTTGGGACAGGTAATTTTTTAAAAAAGTATGAATTCAAATACTAGTACTAGGAATATCAAAAAAGCTGTGGTGGAAAGATGTAATGAAAAGTTAGGAAAAGAATAACGAATAAAAATGGTTGTTTATTTTTTACCAGACATTTTTACCAGACCAATTTTTTAAAGCATTATTGATTTTTTTTTAATTAAAAACAAAGACAGATCCGATTAATAAATTAGGACACGTTCCACTTTTACATCCTGATTACCCTTCGGACTCTGTTTTTTATCTTTAAAAAAAACCTCTGCACTGTCGGAGTGTATTATCCAACAATATCGTGGACTTGGGAATTTTTTCTTGAATATATGTTGAATATTCACCCCGTACATATTTAATATTGGATATAAGCGACTCTTGGACCTCCTCCTTACGATTTTTCATTTTATAATATTGGCAGCTCTATATACTTTCTATGATGTTCAAATTTCTTTCTTTTTGCCATCATTGCCCTTATAAATCTATACAATTTTTAAATCACTTTATTGACCATTTTTTAGAGAACTTTGATGAGAAATGAAACGTAATGCGATTAACTTAGTTGCTATTTTCACGATTACTGAAAAATGATTACAGTATCTGTCCTTAACTAGCAACAGTCGAGAGCTCGAATGCTCGGTCACATCCTTAATGACAATCAAATACCCCGAAATTAGTAGTTTTGATAATTTCCATATAAAAATAAGTTTCAAAACACGTTTTAATTTTATAATATATTGGTCTGAATCTAACGACGTGTAAATCAGGAATTCTATATACCGAAAATGTTGAAGTATATAATTTAATTCTGTGTCTCTAGCCCTGTAAGTTAGTGAACAATGTTCTTTACACAGCCTTGATAATTTATTTAGAAACTTAAGAAAAATATATAGAATTTGTTGCCCTTGGTAGCCAGTTATCTTCCTTTTTACAGTAAAATATGATAGGAACATTCTGCTCAATAGTACCAGGGCAACTTCCAGCACCCTGGAAACTGTAATACATTAGAACTGCGTCGTCATACGTAGCGCCATACCCCCGTGGTAGGTTGTCGTCAACTTTTATGGCACCTGTACAAGTTCTGTACCTTGGAGGTTTAGAACCAGGCACAAGACATTTTGGAGTACAAAATCTTCCACAGTTGTCAAAAGATGTCAGGTAGACTTTGCTGGGTTTATTTTTAGTCGGACGTCTGACGGCAATGTACGTCATCGCAGAATACAGGGGTGCTCTGTTGTCCATAATGGCATAATCTTGATAGAAACCGTAGTAATTTAAGCCGTATGAGTTGATAGTGACCCGAAATGCTCCGGAATCGTCAGTTGTACAGTTTTGATAATATTTGGGTTGACCTGGCCTCGTCAGTCTATCTATTTTCTTTATGTCTGGCAACTGATCGTAAATATCATTTGATGTAGACACAAGAACTTTACCAGTTTGTACTGGATACGAGTTGTAGACCTCTTTTTTGGACCGCACATTAACCACTTTGACTGGAATGAATCCCCACTGATATGAATTACTTTCACAATTAATTGTAAACAGATTTTGTACTGGTCGAGCTAGGAAGTATTCATTGTTTAGGAAAGACTGCTTGATTGGAGGTGGAGGTGGTGGAATGGCTTGTCGCTTCTGTCGAGAAAATCCACCATAATCATAGTCATAATAATCTATTCCTCCGTTTCCACCCCCATTTCCTCCTGTATTTCCACCAGCCCTGACAGATCTACAGGTGGTCTCTGGACAGTCAAGTGCCCCAGGATTTGAAAGAGAAGAACAACCAGTTGTACATTCTGCAGGCGAGTTTTCATACGTGAAATAATTCAACCATTCTTGATCGTAGCCTCTCCTGTTTCGAACGCGAAGGTTTTGGAATGTTAAGTTATCCATAAATCTGTTTGGAGCGTGTAATCCATCGCTGCGTGTGCCTGGATACCTAAACCTGTCACTTCTACATCTGTTATTTGGACACTGGAATCGCCACCAGAGATAGTCTATAAAGCAATGATGCATAAAGAATACTGGATCAAATGTAGCTCTCTCCACCTCTGCCATCAATCCTCCTATATATACGTGGCCTGTATTATGGAGGAACTCCAGATCTGTCCCAAATCTACGGACACTGCGAATTCTGTAAAGGCGTCGGACTTCAGCGTCAGATGTAAGCCGAGGTCCAATTCCTACATTTCGGATGAGTGACGAGCCATCTACAGCCCAGTTAGCAAACGGTCCATTGTTTACGAGACCATTTCCTGTTCCGAGAAACTGCGGAGTCCATAGGACAGACTGAGTGGAGTCACTGAGACGGGAGTCCAGCCGCCAGTCTATGTAAGGCAGAGCCTGCAGCTGTCCACCACTGGCCTCAATGAGGGCCTCCTCATATCTGAAGTACAAAGGCAAGAGTTCTCAGCAGTGTGTTACATTAAAAGTCTAAACTTATCTATAACTATCGAGATACTCATAGATAAGTGTAAACTTTAGATTAAAACTTTTGATATAACAAATGTACCTGTGCAAATTTGTTAATGTGATGAACATATAGCAGCATGTTCTCCGTGAATTCATTAAATGATAAAACATTGACATTCAAATTTTTAAAAAGTGGCAGTTATAGTCTTCACATTTCATATTAAAAACGAATGACAAAAATGATAACTATTATATCTTTTAAAGAAGTGATTTGCGTACTACTTCATTAGGTATCTATAAACTTTTGAGTGATGATTACTGACATAAGAAGAAATACTCTGTGCCAGCCAGGAAAATTAGGACCTCCGTGAGCAGATCTTCCTACATTGGCTTGGTGATATCTTGCTATTGTGTCGTAGTTCCGAGGCTTAATAGAAAAATACATGTATCTATGTACAATTCAGTAAGGTTTTTTTTGCATGTCAGTACCGTTAAAATATCTTTGGGGAGGGGTTAGATTAGTATAATGCTAAGCTTGAACAAAACTCAGAACGCAGAGGAAAAATTCTTAAATATATAGTTAATACTGTTAATGTCAAGAAAATGTAAGTGGTAAATCTTTTAAATTACTATATATCACTTGTATTGATTGTATTGATTGTATGAACATATCCATCTACAGAAATAGTTACTCCCCTTTTTCACCCAGAACGTTATCAACAGTCTTGTAACATTCTGCGAAAGTAAAGTTGAAAAACTGCAGTTTCGCAGCTGAAAGGTTCTGATCCTATGCGTATCTGTCATGCATTGATTGATTATTGCTAGTATACTCAGTTGAAGAGGAAGCCTGAGGTCTCCAGATTTTCTTATGAAATAATTTCAATTGAGTTGAACAGTGTTGAGTACGTACTGGGTTGCGGGACTTGAGGGACCTGACGGCATTATGGTAGATGGTCCTGTCTTCCTGGGATAGAGACCTGTACTCACGCCGTCTACGTCTATTGGCCTGGCGCTTACGACGACGATCTAGAAACTTCCCTAGTAAATCTCCAATGTAGTCTAATTCAGGCTTTGTCATGTTACGACACTTTATCCCAACATCTAAAAAACGAAAGGAATGTCTTGCAAATATATGATTTATTCAAGTTTTATGGTTTCAAGATGTTGGATCACTTCAAAGTTTTGTAATTTAGAAGCTAAGTGTAAATAAAGATGTATAAAAAAGACTGTAAGGCTAGTATGTAATTTAACGCCATAGACACAACTCATGAACAAAAGTCAAATCTTAATGAGAATAAAAAATAACCGTCATCGCTAACTCCTGTCATAGAAAGTTTGAGTAAGTTTTAACGCACCTGACCACATATAACGCAATAAGCAGGTTGCTGATAGTTTCTCTGCCGGAAGTTGTTCAAAATAAGTCTCATTAGAGAAGGTTTGGAAACACTTAAACAAACTGTGGGGTAGATTGTAAGGTTGCACTTTGGCTTGAATTTTCAGGACACAGAATGAAAACAACAAAAAAAGTACCTGTAATTAAATGCATAAAACACCAATAATGATACTATGGGAACAAAGTCTACTTTTCCTAAGTACATATGACGCATCTGCACTGAAAACTCCTAGAACCTCTTGACTAATCGTTTCTTTATACTCTTCAAATGAATATACTAATAAAAATGCATATATACACCTCCACAATTAAACAAGTAATATTTCCTTGGTTTTAATGTTCGTTAAATAGTTTTGAAATTAAATTGTTTCCATTTTTTTTACACCGATAATTTTCAATTTCATTTATTTTTTTTTTTTAACTATTTCCTAAAATATTGGTAAAGCACATTTGAATTTCAATCAAACTATTGCTGTTAGTTAACTGTGTTTACCCCAAGGCGATGTCCTCCCATGTTGACTGCATCTAAGTCTCAGGTAGGAATCAGTAACAAAGATATACATCTACTACAAGTATCGACCCAATATAAGAGGAACTTCAAGGGGAGTGTTTGTTACTGACAGAATGATTATGAATCTAATCTTAGTTACATTACCCAAACTTTATGACATTAGAAGATGTAATTACGCCCTTGAAATTTAAGCAGAGATCGTTATTTAAAAGATACATGATTATTATGTATTGTTATTTAGTATAACAAGTTGACAAATAGTTCATTTTAGTTCTTCTTCAATTTAAAATAAAGAATTATATTCAAAGTCCATCTAGCTGTTTGCTTGTTCAGAGAGAGAGAAGGGGGGGGTTAAGAACAATTTGCATGGAATCATAAATCTCCCATGTGGTTGGTGACGGGGGGGGGGGGGTACTAAAGACAAACTCAACTCGTCACTACTTAATGGTAAACCTATATTGGTCTGTCTTGATCTAGCCTTGCTTCTCTTATATAGCTAAGATCTTTCTTTTTTCGAAAAACAGATACCCGTCGCGACGCTTCCCATACCAACCACAAGCATATTAGTGAATAATTTAGATTTGTAGCACTGTATAATGAATTTCGACGTCCCTCTATATATCACTGATCCATTCTAAACCCTGATTGTATCTCAACTGTATACACGTGGACCATAACTTGAAAAAAGAATTGAATATACAATACCTGTACTTGAACGAATTAAAATATACAATTCCTGTACGTGAACGAATTGAAGTATACTATACATGTACGTGAATATGTTTGTCTTTTCAATAAACTGATTTAATCCCACTGATAGTTCATAATTTGTCTTACCCCATTCAAATTTTTTCCCCCTATCAATTCATCTACCCATGTAGGGGTTCGTTCGTTGAACTTGCAGAAATCTTCGTAGCCATGAAAGCTTTTTGACAAGTTTGGTTGAAATTGGTCCACTGCTTCCGGACATGTTGAATGTTAATCTTTACAGACAACACTTCAATGTAGAAAAACTCGCAGAAGTCTTAGATTCGGGTGAGGGAAAAAGAAAAAAAACAAGTTTAAATCAAAACTTTGATTTCTCAAATAGCATAACTATGAGGGTAAATAAAATATTTTTAAAGTAGAATTTTCATCGTGATATAATATTTCTTCCGTGTGTCAGAATTACCCACTTTGAACCTTCTATTATAAAACATAAACATTGAGTTTCATGATATTGCAATGTTTCCGGTTGTTAGATAAACACAAAAAAGGTTGCTCCATATTCCTGTATTACATATACATTGTTACCAAACATACATAAAGAAAACACCTTTGGCCAGGTTTTTCACCCATCAGATTTTCCATCTCAGTTGACCTTGGTTTCCTCCCCTTTTCTTTAAGGACAGTGGACGGTATTAAACAGGGATGAACTGAAATTAAATGCTGTAGTGAGACAAACGCTCTCCCTTTCATATTAGGGGAAAATGTCGTATACGTCTATAAAATTGTCGGACAGATAATTAATTTTAATTATCGATATGAATTTTGTGAGACGATGCACATCATAATTAACTGTCTCCAACCAAATTTTCATTAGATGGGGAACTCATAAAAATAGAATTTAAAAATGTTGAATGATGCAATATTAATAAGGATATATATCCATATTTAAAAATTATAGGGAAGTAAGCATTTCAATAATATTCGAATGCTTTACCTAACGGAGAGTATATATGATGTACGGCAGCTTACAGACGATCCGGGAAGTAGCTACTTTTATACATTTTGATTACTAAAGAAATGTTTCTTTGTTAGACATGTTATACTATATCTCACTTATGTCAGTTTTTTTAATGCAGCGTTGCCTTTGTGTAAATTGTGATCTCTTATTATCATGACTTGTTTCATTCGCTAGATGCAACCCCCTCCCCCTCCTCGGCTTTTAAATAGTTAGCATGTATTTAATATTTTCATTACTTATCCCTTTTTTAACTTCCTGAATGTGCTTTCTAGCAACAGATTAATTATATGGATGTTATTGAGAACAGTGTATTTTATAACAGGGAGGAGATCGTGACTGATGAGAAGGATGATGGGAATGATACAGATAGTGACGTATTCAGGAGTGGATCCGAGTCTCCCCAATTCTCCCTTCCGGTTATCACTGACCCCAAACAGCGCCGCGCCACTGTTAGCGGTGGATCGCCAACCCTCAGCCGCGCTCTTCTGGGAATTGAAGACCCAGACACCCCCACAAGACCGAAATCTTTCACTGTGGCGTCGGCGGACTTACCACCACCTGAGTACAAAGACATAGTGGGCAAGTGGTTTTTTTTTTCCTTTTTATAAGACAGACGAGGTTAAATTCATATAAATAACTGAAATTCATTTGAAGAAATTTTAACTTATTTGATAGCCTGGTGCAGTATGTACACTGAGAACAAGATGAAAAGACACGGAGCCATGTATAGAAAACTCAAGAAACACTTTTATGTCAAGATTCTATTTACAATATTTACAGGAGAGGAAAGTAATCTAGCCAAACTTGGAAGTGGCAATGGAAAGCCAGGAAACGCTCAGCAGAAGCGACAGGACTACAAGACAGCCAAGACTTCCCCACAATCTCTAGAATTTACAGTCAAGAAACCAGTTCCTATTGTCCATGAACCAAAATCTGAAATAACAACACCGAAATCAGCTAGTGAAGAACAACAGAAAACTTTTCAAGATTTGTTAGATCAAAAGAAAGTTTTAGACTTATTAGAGGTACCATCTAGATTTCAAAATCCAAATAGGCGGACAGCAGAGAGTGTAGAGGAAGTAGACAAGCCAGATTGTCTGTCATCTCCATCATCAACTGATACCCTGACTGACCACTCCGAGAAGAATGCCACAGAGGAAGAGGCAGACAGTGGACATCAAGTAAAAAGTCCGATTAAAGTGACCAGCAGTGTTGAGAATGATCAGGAGGGCCCCAGTTTGGAAGTCATTGGTTGTACAGACAGAAGTGAGGAGGATACTACTCATGCCACTGCTATTCCAGATCCCCACACTGAGAATTCATCTGGGGTAAGTCTACACACAGTTGAGGCACATTCGGATACAAGTGGTCAGTGGCTACAATGGCCTTTATCCCAGATGCCTAAAACAGCTCCACAAAATCTGGATGCCTCGTATGTTGATAGGCGAAAACCCAGTAAAAATATGGCTTTCTCCTCTGTTGCTACCTCTACTAGAGAAAAGAGTGAACCTCAACTGATGAAAATTCGAAAAATTGACTCTTTTATTGAAGGAGGGGTATGTAACATATTATGGTACGGTGATGGGTAAAAAAATATTAACCAGAAATAGTAGTCAACTAATTTCTAACACATATCCACGAGTATGGAGATGTGTAGACTTACTCCAAATTGTTTTTTTGTTAATCAGTATTTAATAACGTAGTATAACACTCGAAAAGCCTCTTTTCCTCATTTTTCAGACTTAGCACGGATCAATTGATTATGCTGTTTTCCATTGCATTATATATATATATATATATATATATATATATATATATATATATATATATATATATATATATATATATATATATATATATAAAAGAAGGTTAAACTTTTCTTCTGTTAATTTCTTTCGTGTATGTGTGAGAAATACGAGAACAGACTGAACAGTAACACACGTGAGCTGTTTTTGATTTATTTGTGATAATTTGCTATTTGAAGAAATGCTCTAAATCTTTTCTGTGGAAATGTGTGTTACAAATCATTTTGCATAAATTCTTACCTCTCATAATAAAAAATTAACATTTACATTACTTATATCGTAAATTGTAGATTATTTTTCAGTTAATTTGTGCATGATATAACAGTTTTTGTTGTTGTTGTGGTTTTATTAAAAAATGAAATTTGTCTACTTATCATTTATTTATAAAAGAATTTTAGAAATCATACACTAGTTTATTTATATACGTGTATCTGTAGTATGTTATTTTTTAAGGGTAAACGAAAACATAAACTTTGAAACGATCATTGCTAACAATCTATGCGTTTCTCTCCATTTTCATATACCTGACTGAAGAGATACAATTATTTTTGTTTTATTTGTAGAATCGGGACAAAAAAGTCGCGTTTTCTGAATCAACAAAACAGGAGGAAAATGTCAGGTAAATTTCATGCACAAGTATTATGATATTGTATTCTCCCTGTCCATTTCTTACACCAAGGTATAATGTTTTATAAAAGGTTGCTTAAATAGTCTACAGTAAAACTCGTTTAGTACGAACACGGATATTGCGAATTCACGGATATAGCGAAGTTATCTTGGATCCCCAGCTATATAAATTTACGAATTCATTATACGGTTATAACGCATTACGGATATAGCGAAGTAATTTCATAGGTCCCAGTGACTTCGTTATAACTGAGTTTTACTGTATACGATTGTTTGTTTGAAGTGAGATATAAATCGTATCTTAATCACTGTTGGTAGATGTATCGAAACACTCTTGTGTCGCCAATACAGTGTATTTAAATGTTTACCACATTCACTTCATTTAATACATGTGGTTACTTGTTATTTTGCTGTTTTTCTCAGCCAACTTTTATTTAAAATATTTTAAAATATCCTAGAAGCTAAATGACACCTAATCGTTCAATATTTTTTCTTTATCAAAACACTTAACGACAGGATCTGTGCAGCTTGATATACACCAAAAATATTCTAAAGCAGTTATAAGTAATTTTGGAGAATTCGGTTTTTTTCCGAGTGTGTCAAAATTAACGAACTTCTAAAACATGTCAAACCTTTAAAACACGAGGGCAAATTAAAATACTGATGCTTAGTGGATTTGCTTTATCAAACAATCCTTCTGTCCTCTTCATTTCTCCCGAAACAAAACTAAAACAACTACAATGCTTTTGTTGACTTTTTTTCTGCTCTTCTTTGATAATTATAGCTACACTTGAGTAAATTTGGGATTACTGTCTGATGAGTTGAATGCCAAAAGTTTGAAATCAATTATTTCAGACATCTATCCTGTATGTCAGATAGATTTCTAAAAATAAATGCGGAAACACTTCATCAAGAAAGTACTTGGCATGTTGAACAATGTGGAAAATACAAATACATATAGCTTATATATATATATATATATATATATATATATATATATATATATATAATCAAGTTCTTAACCTCTGTTCACCGTGTCATCAGATCTTTATTGTAGGAATTTCTGTGTAATAATATAAGACTTTCTAATAAATGTTTCTTGTGCCCTTCAGACGATTTTGTCATGAAATCACTCTTGGTTTTTTTCGTATTCAGTGAGATTTTATCAATTTAAAGTAGGGCAGAATGAACAGTTAGCTAGATAACCTTTTCCTTCAGGGCAGTGAAAGGTTAAGTCAAGTATGTGTTATACAAAGCGACAATGTAAACTGATTCTGATTGAGAAAGAATTTGTACTTCCTGTTACAGTATATGTGTATATTTCTTTCCTCTTTAGTGTAACCATCACAAAATTCAATTGTCTAAAAAAAAATAATAATAATAAAATGAAGGACGGCAAAGAATTGGAATTGTAAGTGAACAAATCTTATCATTTATTATTGTTAAATTATTTATTTATTTATAAAAGAATATGTCCCCACTGAAACATAAACGCTCGTAATTTTGTCTGATTGCCACGTTTTATTTCAGAAAGTATAAGATAAGAGTAAAAGATTGATTGATTGATTGTATGCTGTTTTACGTCCCATTCGAGAATTTTTCACTCGTATAGAGACGTCACCTTATACCGGTGAAGGGCTTCAAATTTTGATATTTACTCGGCACTCAAAAGAGAAACTTGATTTGGCTGTTGCATATTTCTTAGCTCTAGTTTTAGTATTTTAATTTTTAATATATTTGTTTTATGATTATCATTTCAGTTTTCATTCAAGAATATTTTTCATTTTTTGATTATTTTTCCGTTTGTCTGTTTTGTGTACAGTTGATTCCATCAAAGTTTAAAATTTATTCCTTCACAAGAACGAAAATTAAATAAAGTGTTAAGTTAAGTTGTAGTAATAGAAAACCTTTATCGAATTGTTTGAGAGTTAGTATCAGATGTTTTCAATGTCACCAATTGTATAGAATTTATTATTTAGAGCTCCAGATCAAAAATGCATTCTATCTGTATCTTGAATTTACTGCTGTTTTACCAATTTAATTTTTTAACCATGCATTGTTATAGTACGAAAGAGAGATCTTAATAATGACTTTAACGTAAAATTTGAAAAGAATGATTGAAGTATTCTTTTAAATTGATAATGAAATGTTTCTTTGCGGATAGTTACAAGACAATCGTGGTGGGTGGAGTAGTTCAGAAGATCCCTGTCACAAATGAGGTTAGTCAACCAATAACAAAATTCTGTTAAAGCATCACTTCTATAGGCAAATGTCTCGGTCACAAATGAGGTTAGTCAACCAGTAACATAATTCTGTTTAAGCATCACTCCTACAGGCATATGTCTCTGTCACAAATGACGTTAGTCAACCATTACCATAATTCTGTTGAAGCATCACTTCTACAGACAAATGTCTCTGACACACATGAGGTTAGTCAACCAATAACATAATTCTGTTGGAGCATCACTTCTACAGACAAATGTCTCTGACACACATGAGGTTAGTCAACCAATAACATAATTCTGTTGGAGCATCACTTCTACAGACAAATGTCTCTGACACACATGAGGTAAGTCAACCATTAATATAATTCTGTTGAAGCATCACTCCTAGAGGCCATGTCTCTGTCACAAATAGGTTAGTCAATCATTAATATAATTCTGTTGAAGAATCACTTCTAAAAACAAATGTCTGTGTCACAAATAAGGTTAGTCAACAGTTAACATAATTCTGTTGAAGCATCACTCCTACAGGCAAATGTCTCTGTCACAAATGAGGTTACTCAACCATTACCATAATTCTGTTTAAGCATCACTCTTACAAGCACACATCTCTGTCACAAATGAGGTTAGTCAACCATTAACATAATTCTGTTGAAGCATCACTCCTACAGGCAAATGTCTGTGTCACAAATGAGGTTAGTCAACCATTAACAAAATTCTGTTGAAGCATCACTCCTACAGGCAAATGTCTCGGTCACAAATGAGGTTAGTCAACCATTAACATAATTCTGTTGAAGAATCACTTCTACAGACAAATGTCTGTGTCACAATTGAGGTTAGTCAACCATTAACATAATTCTGTTGAAGATTCACTTCTACAGACAAATGTCAATGTCACAAATGAGGTTAGTCAACCATTAACATAATTCTGTTGAAGCATCACTTCTACAGACAAATGTCTCTGTCACAAATGAGGTTAGTCAACCATTAACATACATGTTATTCTGTTGGCGCATCACTTCTACTGGCACATGTCCCTTTAAATCACACATCAACATAATCCTCTGTTAGTAATTCATTTACAAGCCTATATACAATACCCATAAAATCCACTGTAGTCAGTAATATTACAGCCACAGTCTTAAAATCACACACATCCAAAGAATTCTCTGTTAAACAAGCAGTTTTACAATAATAGTATATTATCAATTATGATTACTATATATTTTCTCAATCTTTTGTATCCATCTTTTTTCAGCCAGCAGTTGTCATGAGACATAAAAAGAAAGCAAAACGCGTCGGCAAGTATTTCTATCGTTTCAGTATTTTTATATATTTTGATTTAATTTTGTCAACATGGCTTCATGTGATATTTTTTGTCATTCCAGCATTTGAATTAAATACAAGACGGTATATCAATCTACCAAAATATCTATAGACTTAGTTTTTTTTTCTTGCCACTTTTTGAATCTTTCAAGTTGACCCAGGCAGTAATGTATTATTGTTTCTACTATAGGTTGTAATTCATTACGCCGGATATTATAAGTAGATAATGATTTATTTACGTTTGACTACAGCTTGAACAATTGGGATCTTTGGCTCTACTGGTTGTAAATAAGGAGAGCTTTTACAATAGTAAATTGTCTATTGTCTGTTAAGCTGTATGTCCATCCGTTAACAATCTTTCAAAATTCTCTGTTTCCTGAAGTTTTGGTCCGATTTCTGTCAAACATGGTTCACAATAAATTACCTGAAAAGTTAAGATTTTTAAGATAAAATTTTCTGTACACCAGTTTTTGGGTTTTGATGAAAGATATTATCTACAAATAGATATTTGGAAAGACAAACTTTCAGAATTCATATACATACGTAATACGTGCATTTTTATCACTGTTTAAAGATCGGCGAGTGAGTTGTAAGGATCTTGGCACTGGAGACTGTGAGGGCTGGCTGTACAAGAAAAGAGACAAAGGAGGGTTCATGTCAGGTCACTGGGTGAAGAGATGGTGTGTTATAAAACAGTACAACATGTACTTCTACAGAGATGTGGAGGTGAGGCCTACAAATAGTACCCAACCTTTGTTAGTGGACAGCACTGTAGTCAGTCTAAACATAGTTTAATGATCAAGGTCGTTGTTTATAATCTCTTTATCAAGGTCCTCTCTAAAGAACTATAGCGAACAGGTTACGCATAGTAAATATGCTTGTGTCAGCGCAATCCTTCGGAAAACAGTTACTGTGTCATTGTTGATTGACAAGGTAATATCCTTTGCTACGTCTTCAGTCACAATGTATGAATTCTCGTCTCTTGTAGGATCTGAAGGCAGAAGGAGTTCTACATTTGCCAGCATTCCAAGTTTCTCCTGCTCCAGAAGTCAAAACCAAAAAATTGTGAGTAATTGTGAAGGAATTTAGCTGCAGAGTATAAGAGAACCAAGCAGATCAACTTAAGAGTTGTTCATTTGATACTAAGATCACATCCTGGAGTTTGTTTGGAAGCACTTCATTTACTGATTAACATTTAATACTTGTGCACTATATAAAATAATATTGTACCAATTAAGCAGTATATTTCTGATAATTACATGTAAGCTTACTATTATATCAAACGTCCAATTTCGGGTAAGTTGTGCCAATCTTAAATTTTCTTTTCATAATCAAAAAGCATTTTTTTTTAATTTGCTTGGTGTACAAAAGGAATGTTTTATTTCAAAGAATAAAGTAAATTAACCTGCCAAAAATTTCAACAAGAAATGTATCAAGGTAAAGTATTTTGAAACATGAAAATATCAAGAAACTCTCAGAAAACTAGTGTCACAAACGGACTGTATGAATAGGAAATTGTATCTTTGTTGGACAAATTTAATCTTAGCCAATATATCTCATCAATTCTTATCACAGAGGGAAAATATGAAAAAATACTATATTTAAACGCAGTTACCAGAATAATGTTATTGAAATGAAAATTTGTAACATTGTCACAAAAAGTACAGTGAATTAAGGTACAAAATTCTATTGCCATGAAATCTGTAACCCTTGATACTTTCATTGTTTAAATTACTGTAAAATCACATATTTTCATGGGGTCAAATTTTCATGGTTTGAGGAAAAAATATTTGTTGATGAAAGGAATTCAATTTCGTGGTTTAAAAAATGCGGAGTTATTCATTTGAAATTTTACACTTCATGGAGGACATGTACATGAATTCTTTTGTCAATTCATACCTCGAAAACAACAGTCAGCCCCCCCCCCCCCCACACACACACACACACACACGAACTATTAGTGGTTTGACATAATTTATTTTTTTGAAATTAAATGTTTTGTAAGAAAAAAAATTTTTTTTGTCTTCTACAAATGCATAAAATTAAAACTTTCTAATGAAGTCTACAGAATTCAAAATTTCCATTGTCTTGTGACCTCAGGCGAGGATCCAGGAATTGAAGTTAGAGGGGGCGCCGAAAGTAGGCAGGGGGTCTGGGGGCCACCTTGAGGCCCCCAGTGGGTCCAGGGCGAAGCCCTGGTGGGGGCCCAGGGGGCGAAGCTCCTGGATTGTAGAGATTTCGTAGGGTAAAAATGAGGTCTACCGAGTAGACATTTTTACATTTTCTCGACGAAACTATGATTTACGCTAACTTCGACAATTTTAATGGGGGGCGCCGGGCGCCCCCCCCCCCCTTAAATCCGCCACTGGACCTACATTGTCATATCGGTCTAATTTTTAATACAGCAGCTATATGAATTTCAAATCATCAATGCATGATGCTGTTATTTTTTAGCAGTGATTTCATAATGCTGTGAAATTTGTTTATTGGTCAAATAATCATCTTTTTGGTGAAATACGTTACAGTGATTTATGTTACATTTGATTCATATTATATCTTATCCAGGACCAAATTTCTGTGTTTGGGATTAATATTCATTAATATATTTCATCTAATTAATATTCATCAAGAGTTGATATACAGAAAACTCTTCATTATTAGGTATGGAATATAATGGACGTTTTTTTCTTGGTCATTGGTACAGCTAAACTGAATTTGGGCGTTAAGCGATTCAACACATTAAAACTTGTTTTTTCCAAACGATTTGAATGACGTGGATTTTAAAAAATACTTAACGTATTTTTATATGAAGGGGGTTTAATTAAGATTAATTAAAAAGATATATGAAGTAGATTTGTAAGTATCATAATATTTCATTTTTGTCTGCCACTTTTGTTAAGTTTTAAAGAGTCATATATCATTGAACTAGAACTGTTATTATGTACATGTATATATATACATATTTGTTTTTCAACATAAAGCCCTTTGTAAGTAGTTAATGTTGTCAGTTGTCTCTCCTTCTGTTTACTATCAACATTGTATAGATCGCTTTTGTTGCACGAAACAGTATTTTCTTCAGCAAAGTGGCGAAATTGCACGTTCTTCATGTACTTGCATGTTCTATTGAATTCGTATTACCAGTGTTCTGTTTTTGCCATTGATAATCGAAGCCTGTGAAAATCATTCCAACATTTCTGGTAGTACAGTGTTATTATACCTGTTTCACTTATTCAGAAGAAATAGTTTGACAACATTCTGTGCTCATGAGTAATTCTGAATAAAGTTTTTAATTTCCAAATGAAGGTCTACCTAGTAATTTCAGTTTTGTTTTGTTATATTCATTTTTTAGTTTTCTTATTGTTCTGAAACACAAGATTACCCCATATACAAATATTCCTTATTTCTTCATGATAGTTTTATAAGGTTTTAAGCCTTTTTTAAAAAGAGTTTTTTGAGATAGTATAGAGGGTATGCGTCTCTCCGAGTGGTGATGGTTCTTAAGAATATATAGTCGTCACTTAACATCTTATTCGTGAATTCAAACGTACTGTTATTGGTAGAAATGGCTCTTAAGTGTTTACAGTTGATAAAAGAGTTATAAATTATTACTTACATATACATGCATAAACGTGAAAATCTTATTCCCTTTATCATGTTTATTGCAGACTTCTGATCTTTATTTTACATCTCTCAAAGTACTTGTTGTATCCATGTTAAATAGATTACCGCTGTTTTTTCAGGCACACATTTGGCGGTAATATTTGAAATTATAATTTGCAATTTAAGGATATTGGCTCCTCAGCCAAGAACGATAACCCTTAAATAAATTATTATTTTATTCAAAAAAGTCTCAAAATGAAGCTTGAAATTAAAATCTTTTCATGTAACAATTTTAATTTCGTGTATCTCAATATAATTCTTAGAAGTCTTAGAAACGATATTGTAAAAAGTTTACATTTGTACTCCATAAAAGTACAAAAATGGATATATTTTTAGAGAACTCAAATTTCCTTTCATCTAACCTTAGATACCAATGCTTATTATCACGATATGAAATGAGCATTGATCTGTGATGTTTTGAATGATAGCACAAACCTTTACTCTATGTATTATATAACAATTGAAGTAAATAGAAGAACTAAAAAAACCGCAAAACACGCTGTTTTCTCCGAATGTTTGGATAACTTTAGTTTTTCATCCTAAAATATACTTGTTGATCAATTTTTAAATTACAAAATGTATATATGGTGCTTTTTTCGCGTTTCCTGAAAATATACTTGACATTAGATGATTTTTTTCCCTATATGATTAACTGTAATGATGAACTTTGAAGAAATACCGTGGGTAAATACACTTTACTTTGGGAATTCAGAGACATTTCTCTGAACATTTTCAATTACTCAAACTGCAGATTTTTCATAACCTGAGGACCGGACTACCTGATACGTTTAACCAAGGGGCATTGTGTATAAAGACATACACTTCATGCTCAAAATTAATTTTCTGATGCTGATATAAATTATCATCTTCAAACATTTCCATTTCATATAATTCAAGCTTAAAGTAACAGAATTCACTTTTTTGTAATTAATTTCAGAGAAGTGATAATCCACTTCCAGGGACACGCTGCATCTTAATATATTTTTATGCATGTGCGTTATAAGTAGCTAACAGGCATTAATATTGATTCTAAGAACTGTTTAACAGCATTGTTTTTGTAATAGCAACACTTTGTATGATTTCACAGCTTTTCTTAGAGTTCAGAGATTGATCTACATTTTATATAAATTCTGATCACTTATTTCTAAACAATGACATTATTTTGATGAATATTATATCCAGTATATATATATATGCATTTCCTGTTGTTTAAATACTCTGAAAGATTGTATTATTTAGCATTCTTATCATATCCAAATTTCAAAACGTCTGAGTTCTTCCTGTCCGCTTTGAGAGCGGCTGACTTGCTAGCACGAGGTTGGACTCGTTTGACTCTTCTTTTAATGAAGTTCATTGTTTTTCGTTCTTTACAGTGCGTTCAAAATTCACAATGCCGGTACATCCTTTGTTTTTGCCTCGGAGCGACAAGAAGATATGAAAAAGTAAGTGATGTTGAAATTCATGTAATAATTTATTTATATTCATTTTATATACTAGTATCATCTGCACACTTTTGTCAATAACTGTCAGCGACAAGCCCAGGTACAACATCTAGTCAATTGTCATGTACTAAGTATGACATTCAGATTTTAGATTTCCAGAACAGTTTGTCTTGAACATATTAGTTACAACAGTCTCTGTGAAGATTACCTTTTATTTTCTGTTTAGAACGTAATCACACTGGAAGAGACCTATGGATCATGCCAACATTCAAATGTAACTTTATACTGGGAGTATATAGTGTTTGTGATCAAAATCTGATAAATATAGGCTTCTTTGTTTTAGATGGATGAATAAGATGGGGTTAGCTGCCATATCCTTCTCTCCTCCAAGGGTAATTAAACAAGATCAGTCCAAATCAAGTAAGTGTGACCTCTGCATATTGAATACAGTTAACTTGTGGCATATTTAACACAGCATTAAAGATATCATCACCTCTGTAAAAAATGCACAGCAACTTAAATGTAAATGGTAATTTAGGCACCTTTTATTTCAAAAGCTTTTAAATGTTATCTACTGGGTACATGATAAATGTGGCCTGTTTTAGCACGATGAAAGCAGATAATGTTATTAATTTGGTGAAGTGTGATTAACAATATAAGCATGAATGTTATTACACGGAGAAATATGGCCTATAATAATACATCATTCTTAATGTTATAATACCATAATATCTGGCCTATAGTAACACAGCATTTTAATGTTATTATACGATAAAATTTGGTCCAAAGTAACACAACATTTTAATGTTATTATACAGTAAAATTTGGTCTAAAGTAACACAGCATTTTAATGTTATTATACGATAAAATTTGGTCCAAAGTAACACAACATTTTAATGTTATTATACAGTAAAATTTGGTCTAAAGTAACACAGCATTTTAATGTTGCATTTTAAATGTTATTATATGGTAAAATTTGGTCAAAAGTAACACAGCATTTTAAATGTTACATGTATTACACGGTAAAAATTAAGTGTAAACAAACACAGCATTTTGGATGTTATACGGTAAAATATAGTCTAAAGTAACACAGCAATTTAAATGTTATTATACGGTAAAATTTGTTTTTGTTTGAACATATTTTATTGCAATAAATACATACAATGGGATTGGGCACAAGTTCTAAAAACTTAATTCGCCCTCTCCCTACATGTTATATCACAAAAGATTGAATCAGACGTGTCCAGCAGCATGTACAGAGTAAATTAACTCACAACAAAGAAACATATACTGCTAAATTATTATCTATACACATTTTTAGAAAAATCAATTAAATCTGCCTGAATGCTGAATATAAGTTTGAACAATAGAGAAAAGATATTCATTTTCAGCAATACTGAGTGAAATATCACCCCAGAGTAAAGTATGAGTGTCAACAATATGAACTTTATTAAATCTCAAAAACTTATCGAAGAAATCTTTCCTGGCCTCAGTGTAGTTAGGACATGAGAAAAAATAATGATGTGTGTCTTCTACCTTCCCACAAGAGCATAATGGACTAGATATTATGTTACACCTATAAAGATCAACGTTTAGCACACAATTGTGTCGGAGTCTAGTGTGCAGTATATTGTAGTATATCTTTTTCCAAAACTGAAATAAGGCGGGGCTACTGTATTTTTTGTGTGATTTTACTTTTAAAAGCAGATAAGGAGCTCGAGAGTCTTGTGTCTAGCGATAAAGAATTCCACTCGTTTACTACAGTTGGTACAAATGATGATTTATATGTTTGCAGTCTACAAACGGGTATATTATAATTTTGAGAATTTCTTGTTGTATACGCGGAAGCATTACATCGCATTTCAGGTATAATTTCACGTAGATAATCAGGGACTAAATTATTATGAATTTTATACATGGTATTCAATCTCTGAATCTTGCGTCTATCAATGAGCGGTTCCAAGCCTGTTTCAAAGTAAACTAAAGTAACACAGCCTTTTAAATGTTATTATACGGTAAAATTTGGTCTAAAGTAACCACAGCGATTAAAATATTATTATACAGTGAATTATAGTTTACGGTAACACAGCATTTTGAATGATATTAATTGGTGAAGTATTGTCTATAGTAAATAGCATTATGAATGTTATTATACAGTAAAATATGAAATATGTCCTTTACTAACACAGCATTTTAAATGTTACTATATAATGAAACATTGCCTTCAACAACAAAGCATTTTGTTATTATACAGTGAATTATGGCTTATAGTAACACAACATTTTGAATGTTAGTATTTGGTTAAATATGTCCTATAGTAACACAACATTTTGAATGTTAGTTTTTGGTTAAATATGTGCTATAATAACACACCTTCTTGAATGTTAGTATTCGGTTAAATATTTCCTATATATAGTAACACAGCATTTTATATGAAGAATGGCCTATAGTAGCATATTGAATATTATTATATAGAGAAACAAAGCCTTTCGTAACAAATCATTTGAATGCTATACGCTGAATTATGCCTTATTGTAACACAGCATTTTGAATGTTTTGGAGAAATGTGGACTATATTAACAGCATTTTGAATTTTATTATAAGGAGAAATGAGGCCTATAGTTACTAGGGCTATGTATTGAGCAAATAAATTCGATATGATACGATACGATATTTTATAATGTGATATGCGATATATTGGATTCTTAATCAAGTCTAGCAAAAAAGTTTAAATGCATGAATTTTATAAGAACTAATTGTTTGATAACCCATTTCGAAGTTCTTGTCTCGCTGTCATTACAAATTACACTTCAAATTCAAATTTTTAACAACTGCAAAATCAGCATGTTAAAATAAAGTTGTCTATCTATTTTGTAATATTTATCTAAGATGTGCTATCTCCTTAATCATGGTAATGATTATATCATTATTGATCAATTTTAATTCACAACAGTTAAAATATAACCTTTATTGATAGAAATTCCCAACTTTTTCACAGAATTATAAGAAAAACTGCCTGCCCGATACGTATTGGAAGTTATTTTTCGATACGATACATTCTTGAATATCGATACGTATCGATATATTGATACAGCCCTAATAGTTACACAGCATTTTGAATTTTTTAATACAGAGAAATATGGCCCATGGTAACACAACATTTTGAATGTTTTTATACGGAGAAATGTGGTCTAGAGTAAAAGCATTTGGAATTTTATTTTATGGAGAAATTAGACCTATAGTTATGTAGCATCTTAAATGTTATTATACGGTTAAATATGGCATAAATAGTAACTCGGCATTTTGAATGTTATACGGATAAATATTGTCTGCAGTAACACAGCAACTTGATTGCTATCTTTCGATGAAATGAGGCCTGTAGTAATACCACATCTTTAATGTTATTTTTTTTTCCGGTGAAATATTTAAAGTAATACGCCATCTTGAATGTTATTACATGTATACTGTGAAATTGTGCCCCATATATGCGAATGAATGCATATTAAGTTTTAAAGTAATCCCTTTATGAAGTAATATAATATTGTACATAAACCAGTTTGGCACGGATGATATACACAAAATACATTCTGTGATTATCTGACTTATTTAAGCTTGCTGAATGTCAATGTAATTAAATACTAGAAAAAGTTTATACCTTACGAATAATAAACGTGCTGAAGGTCAATGAAATTAAATGCGTTGGAAAAGTTTTGACAAATCTTGCTTTTGGATTGTATCTAAGAGATCCCTCACACGAGGAATATTGGTAGGAAAATGACTACAAAAGTTTCTCTTCTAAGCATTTTCCCAAGTTTTTGATCTCTGTATTTTTTTAAATAATAGTTATTTCATTTCAAGAATTAGCACAGAATGTTTCTTAAAAATATACTGAACAGTTTATTTTTCCTAACACATTGTTTTTGGTCACTAGATGAATATTACAGCGAGAGTTCTGATGAAGAATCCCACCCCTCTACAGCCAGCAGTATGGAGTCACTGAACAGTATCGGACAGGTCAACGGTAAGTTCACTTTAAAGGATTGACCGAAGATGTGCTAATATTACATTAACACATTACGTAGACGTGAAACGCTTAAGGTTTCCAGATGGCTTAACTTTATCGTATTTTACATATTCGGGTACTCAGCGGATAAAGATGAATTACATGTAAGTGACAATCGGTGCATATTGCTATATAACTTGATTGTTTTCGTTTAACAGAAAGCATGGTTAATAGTTCAGGAGAGATTTCCAGAAGTGCGGGTGATTTAACTCGCCTTATGGATAATATTCGTAAGGAACAACTTACTTTTGACGGCAAGGACAAGAGGAAACAGAGAACTAGCGCTATATTACCACCGGGAGGACCACCGGACGAAATGTCTGCCGAAAGTATAGAGAAGCTCAAACGGAAACATTCATTAATGCGAACTTTAAAGGTTAAGATTTGATAATGTATTTTTTTTATTTTTGTAAAACATATGTTAATTACTACATCGCCAAAACTATATAACACTATGTAACATTAATTTATGTTTTTTATTACAAGGCGAAAGAATTGGAGCTTCAGGAATTAGAGAATCTTCTTAAAAGTGAAAATAAAAAAGCCCTTCTTCGTAGCTTTAAGGAAGATCACCCAGATGCAATATGACTTCAAGGGATGCTCCAATGTTGTTTTGTATCCCTTACTCGGACTCTGACGTTTAGTTCGATCGCAATCACCCTCGATAGCAGGAATGAAGCAACAAAAAATAATATTCTAGTAAATAATGAACTAATTACCATTACATTCCGGAAGAAAAGCAAGAGAGGACCTTCTATATTATGGAAATAGCGGTCATTAGATTTAACATTTTTTATCTGAATTTCCTTGTACTGTTGATTGCTGCACTTGATGTCAATTGGTCAATGTTTTCTATGTAAATTGTTTTATAAATTTCCATTTAAGCTTTGTAAACTTTTGTTAACTATTGTGAAATATTATAACAAAGTGACAGCATTACAAGAGGGAACATATGAACCTAGCAATTTTTTGTTTTGCTTTTCTCCTTTTTTCGGGGGGGGGGGGGGGGAGGGGGGGTTATTATGGGATACTTAACATATTCTTAATTAACAGATATACCATCCCTATTTTATGATTTCTTCATATCGTTGTATAGTATGATGATGCCTATTTTGTCTTAAGGTAGAAATACATTATTCTAAATAAAAAAATAAAAATGTTCATGATATAATTGTTTACTGGGTTCATGATGTTGTTTGATTAGGTCATAGCTTGTATCTGGCCTTTGACAAAGAAATTATGTAAATATTTATTTAGTGCTTGCATCTTGTTCAAGCCTTTGTCTGTCATGCTACCAAATCAGTAAAGACACTTTTGTTCGTTGAGTCTTCTTGTGTACAGTGTTCCTGTATGCATTACAAATGCCAAAATGTGTAAAGTTACAAAACAGGTTCTAAAAGATATTACCTGCCAATAAAAACCAAGATCTCTGAAGATGAAAAGGTTAAAGTTACGGTGTTCCCTGCAAAACTTTTAAGGTACAATATACTGTGGTCTCATTAATATTCGTGGGCATCAATTTTCGTGGATTTAGTAAAAATCACTGTTTCGAGGATTCGTAAATTCGTGGATAATGATCATACAAAAAAAAATCCCTTTTTATTTTTTTTTTACTCTCTGTATGCTTCATGGGAATCTTCACGCTATTTACAATGTTAAGAGTATGTTAATATTTGAAAATAATTACTTACAGGTGACAACTCTTTAATTTATTCTTTATATTTTACTCATCTGTATTTTTAAAGTCGGAACCTTCAAGTTTACGACGCAGCTAACATGGTATAACAATAAAGGGTGAGAGATTCCAAACACCGTCTCCATTGTAAGACTAGTTATGATCTCAATTGACAAATTAAATATAGGATATTGAAACAGATTATTAAAAACAATTAATTAAAATAGACTTTAATTTAATCAACGTTTCGGTTAAAAGGTGTGCAAGTATCTTAAAATACTAAGACAATTTAGATTTTATCTATTAGGCGCACATACGGACGATAATTAAGTGTGGCACCAGGGTATTAAAAAGTTACAAAAATAATTAAGTACTTAAATTTACAAAATGGTGTTAAAGACTTTTTTCACATGCACAACTTAATGTTTCTGGACTCGACAGTGACATTATTTATTAAATATGTTAAAAGAGCATTCCAATTTTATAAAGGTTTGAAACTATTAAACGACCGTACGTTATAACAAGAAAAATATTTTTATACTATATGCCGGACGGACAGACAGACCCCAATTAATATCCCCCACTTTCAGTGAAAGCGGGGGACAATAATATAACAGTCAAACAAATGTAATACAGTATTTGGACAGCCAAAATGCAGTATATTTACTTTCTGTGCAGGACCAGTTTACATCATAGTATGTTGTATCAGTGTTGAGAATAAAACTTGAGACTTCTCAAGACCGTGCATTGTACGCGTTGTACCTGTATATAGCTATATTAATTTTGTATTTCAGTAAATACTACGTTTTTGGTACATGGGCTTTATCTTGATGGTTTTTAGGTCACCTGAGTCACTCAGGTGACCTATTGCTATCTGTTTTCGTCCGTCGGTCGTAAACTTTTGAACATTTTCAGCTTCTTCTCTTGAACCCCTGAACCTATTTCAACCAATTTTGGCATATTGCATCAATTGAAAAAGAAGGGGTACAAAAATTTTGAATTTCATGGTCCCTGCCCCCCTGAGGCCTGAGGGGTGGGGCTAAAACCATCAAAATTATTGTTATCTTTAAAAATCTTCTTCTTTACTCCTGGACATCAAGCAGTCAAACTGTTGGCATGATTGTAATAAGCATTGAGTCCTCTACCAAAATTTTGAAATTCACGGCCCCAGGGTCAGGGGTTCTGGTGCTAGGGCGATGCTATATAGATCATATAGTGAAAGTGCATTATTTCTTTGAGAAACTTCTTCTCTCCTCCTGGGTATTATTAAAACAAATTGAAAACATAGTTATGATAAGCAAGGGTGACTCTACCAAAATTTTGAAATTCATAGCCCCAGGGTCAGGGGTTCTGGTGCGAGGGCGGGGCTATATATAGATCATATAGTGAAAGTGCATTATTTCTTTGAAAATCTTCTTCTCTACTCCTGGGTATTATTCAAACAAATTAAATACATAGTTATGATAAGCAAGAGTGACTCTATCAAAATTGTGAAATTCATAACCCCAGGGTCAGGGGTTCTGGTGCTAGGGCGGGGCTATATAGATCTTATAGTGATTATTTCTTTGAAAATCTTCTTCTCTACTCCTGGGTATTATTTAAACAAATTAAATACATAGTTGTGATTAGCAAGGATGCCTCTTCCAAAATTGTGAAATTCATGGCCCAAGGATCAGGGGTTCTGGTGTTTGGGTGGGGCTATATAGATGCTATAGTGAAGGTGAATTATTTCTTTGAAAGTCTTCTTCTCCACCCCTGGGTATTATTTAAACAAATTAAGTACATTGTTATGATAAGCAAGGATGCCTCTTTCAAAATTGTGAATTTCATGGCCCCAGGGTCAAGGGTTCTGGTGAAAAGGGGGGGAGGGGGCTCTATTTATTATATAGTGAAAAAGCAAAATTTCTTTGAAAATATTCTTTTCTGCTCCTGGTTAAAAAGCAAAGAAGCTAATTGTATAGTTATGATGAGCAAGAGTGCTTCTACCAGAGTAGTGAATTGCATGACCCTTGGGTCAGATGTGCTGGTGTAAGGGTGGGGCTCTTGGTAATATACCGGTAGTGAAAATGCATTAATTCTATTAAATAATCCTGTCTGCTCATAGTGTTAAGCAGATAAACAAAGTGATTACTTATGATGAGCAAACTTCTGGTCCCAGGGTGAGAGGCTCTGGTGTTTCTCACTGGGGGGGGGGGGGGGGTCTATTGAAAATATAGTGAATCTGTAATAAAAATGCATTATTTCTTTAAAAATCTTCTCTGCACCTGGGCATATCAGGGGCAAAAAGAGTAAAAGTTGTAATAAGGAAGAGTATTTTTACCAGATTTTTGAACATCTGGACCATTTGGTCAAATGTTCTAGTCCTGGCCAGGGCTCTATTAATTTGTATTCTACTGAGAGGAGTTATTCCCCTTTGCCATTTACTTTTGATAATTAATAACTGTAAATAATGTACTTGAAAGGTTAATTGAATAAGAGAATTATGCAAGAATTTTTATTGTATAATACAAAAAGTACTTTCATAGTTTTAATGATCAGGTAGGCTTGTAAGTAATAGATAAATGAAAAAGAGAAAAAAAAATAACCTGTCTTTTTAAATGGTCATCAAAGACCAAGAGAGGCCAATGTAAGAGATTTCAACAAGGAATAGTACAGAAGCACTGATAGTTTGTTAATATACTGTATGGTGATTAGTGATAAATGGGGAACAGGTTAAAACCTAATTTATGAACTGTTAATGAATACTAGACTAATTATTTTCTTGATCCTGATCACCTTATTTTTCTTGCTTTTGGGCAACAAAGCTTCACCTTACAGTTCATTTTATACTCTATGGATCCTCTAAATTGTTGTATTATACTCAGGTGACCGTTAAGGCCCTTGGGCCTCTTGTTATCTTGATACGTTTGTGAATTTGTTTTCTTGTTTTTCTAATCAGTGAACAAATTAAAATTTGTGAGCAACTGCGTTTCCCTAAATACAATGTACTTAGAAAATAAATGCCTCGCATGAATGATGCATCCGGTTAGTGCACAATATCAATCATGTTGATGCAGAATGGGTCTTAATAAAATAAAAATTTTATACTTTTTGAATGATTATTGAAGATATATCCAAATAACTAATTGGGAAATGTCCACAAATTCAGCGAATTCATTTGCATTTTAGAGTCGACCATTCTATCATTCCCTCCCCAATGTTGGCTTGGCTGTATATACTACGTTCAATACATGTATTTGATTATATCTGGGACGTATATACTAATGGGATAGACAACTCTCGCAAGTATCGCGATATGTAGTTTTGGGATTTCGTAAGTTAATTTTAAATATAATATATCTCTAATGCTATCAAATATTTCAGAACAAAGCCTATATAAATTCATTCAAATAAACAAAAAGAACAGTTTACATTTATCAGAAAAAAACTTCTTTACCGGGGATAAACGTAGTTTGAAAAACTTGTAGTTTTCTTTATTTGTCATTACTTATATATCGTTTTTTTCAAAATCATGAAAAGGATATACTTTTTATATTTTCCTTAGTTTTGTATCAAAGTTTAATTACTTTTATTAAATTAAGCGTATGTTTCTAAATGTATAAAGCAGATAAAATTGTCTTTATGTCTAAGAGATCATTGAGATAAACAATAAGATATTATCTACACTCTCTAACCTGTATTAAAGTCAATAAAACAAGTTGAAATAATATCTCTCTCAGTTTGATCTTTTTACTGTGATTCTTTGTGGAAAATTTGAGTGTCGTCTTTGTTTAAATATTTTGTTTATATTAACAAAGTATTTTACCATATACCATACAATCTGAATGGAGGTTCTCTGTTGAAAAATGAAATAGGAACATTTTATGAAGAATGTGGTACATAAAAAGCACTGCATAAAAGCAATAGCCCGCCAGAATCGTCATCTGCTAGTATTATCATAGCATTTCTTCATTCGATTTTGATGGTAGTAATGTTTTATTGATGCGCTGCCGCGCCATGAAAATCTATTTTTATGTAATAAATCATTTTGAACTATTGTTTTAAGTTCTCCATATGAGTGAGATTTAATGCCAATAACCGTTTTGTTCATGTTCTACTTCTTTTTTCTGAAGACTAATTTTTATCTCTAAATGAAGGGGTTCAGGACATCTCATCTCAAACTCCAGAGCATTCATCTCCACTATGCTATTGATATTGACTCTAAACATGACCGAAACATCGACAGATTATTTTTGCAATTTTGGGGAGATGCTCTTTACTACATGTATATAGATGCTGTGTTCTTTTATATTATGATAAGTACG